TACACTCGGCTTTCCTCGACATCCCAAACACACGGACATGGAAAACTTTCATTGTGTGCAATCCCAGTGGCACAGGGAGAGGGTAAGATTTACCCGCGATCTGGCTTCACAGTGAAGCCAGATCGCGGAACATTTCTACCCCTTCTCTCGAGCTCAGCACGTCTCGCACACAACAAAATTTACGTGTCGGTGTGTCGGAAAACCTAAGGGTTTTACACATTGTTTTACACATTGTTCAAATGTGTTTGTGTCCATGTATTTCTCCGCGGCGCGTAGTGGGGGTATTATTTCTCCTCTGTCGCGCAGCTACCTCGGCTTCTCTCGGCTTCTTTCGGTTTTCCGACACACCGACACGTAAATTTTGTTGTGTGTGAGGCGTGCTGAGCTCGAGAGAAGGGGTAGAAATGTTCCGCGATCTGGCTTCACTGATTGTATCTACTATTGATAATATAGATATCTCGATAATGGATTACGTTATTTACTCTCTTTACTTCGAACGGTGATGGATTCCTAAAGGAGTCTAGGGAATATCCCTAGAAGCGCACATAGCCGCGAAAAGTGCATAGCACATGCGACATAAAATAAAATACTATTCATGTTTTTATCAACAGATAACATTAATATCGCATGACGTAGGAACACTTATTTTTACAAATACAATTTTTACCATAACCTATAAGCTTATATTTTTACAGATTTACAACAATAATAATCAAGTATTAACGTTTATTATATAAAGAGTTGAAAAAGTTGAATTTTATTTAAAAAGGAGTGAATTTGATTTGCAAAAAATTAAATTTGGAGTGCAGAATCTGTATATGCGTACAGTACCGAGTTTTTACTCCTCATTGAACTTTTGCATATAAATCGGTCATTGACGTTAAAGCTTTAAAAGTAAACCTACCAAGAGTTTATGTACATCTATTTATACAATTATTGATTTAATGATTGATCCGTAACAAAGGTTAGATTTTAACTACTGAATGCAAATAATGATCAATTTAATAGCAGATTGAATAATAAATAAAATAATATTTATGATTAATAGTCGTTAAGTCGAATGAAGAAAAGTGATAATATTGTATTGTGAGCACAGAATTTTAATTGAAAATAAAAAATTGATCATTGAACCAGTTGTGGTATCTTGAAGACGAATGAGCTTGTTAGTAGTATATTTTCTTAAATCGTAGAATTAAACTAAAAGCAGCTACCCTTATTTCCTTTTTCACATTGATTTACGTATAATATTTAACTTTTAACGCAGTAGCTGCCGAAAACTCATGTTTTTCACAAATAAGAAGTCATAAATAAAATTAAAATGATAAAAATTATGTAATATTTTGCGGATGCCTGGGGTACCAAAATGGTACTCTACAATTACCATTTTGGGAACCACTGACTTACAAGATATTCTATTATTATATTACCATTTATTACAATTTTTATCATTTTACCATAAAAGAGAAACAAGGAAATAACTGAAGGACTAAATAAATAAAGTATCAGAAAAAATTATTATAAGAAATTTAAATAAAAGTATTAAGGCGATATTAAAATATTTATTAGAATAAATTAGTGAAAGTATGATTCATGGACGAAATTACGAAACCACTAGAATTTTTATACACATTTTATCTATTTTTGCAACTTTGATGCAAAAAAATAATAATTGTAACCGTATGCGCAAACTTACTAATGAATCTATTCATTTAGATTCTCGTGTTTTACTTTTCTAAGTCAGATCCGTAAATGCATAAGTTTACTAGTTAAAATTTAAATTTGATTGGTTGAAAATACATTGTTAAACAAATTTATTAGTGATGCATTCACTATGGCATAAATAATTTAAATTTTTGGAGAAAAAAACAGACTTTTTGATCAATTTAAAAATTGTTAATAAACTCACTAATAATTAATCTTAGCATTGTGATGATAAAAATATAATTTAATTTAGGAACTGGACTTATCAAACAATTCCAAGAGGGGATTCCCTGACTCTCTAATAGAAATCATGACAGTGCAAGTAAAGTACAAGGACTTAATCGAGGAATTTGTAAAGATTTCGAAACCTTGTGTTTCTTTTGAAAATTTGGAAGAAATTAAAAATGAATATTCTTACGATATAGGATCTAAACGAAAAATAAGTGGTATACAAAATCTTGAAGGATTAATTAAAGTGTTAGAAAAGTATACCATACTCGCTTACGACGACATTAAACCGTTGTATTATATCGAAAAGAGATATATTAAAAAATCTGATTTGATAACAAAATTAAAAAACTATGAAGATTGGTATAAACTGATGAATTATCCATCGTATTATAATATGTATCAAAATGATAATGGTGAGTGTTTGTACTTTTTAATAGCTTTATTATATTTAATTCTTTCGCTTCGATGAGCGTATATATACGCTCTTGAAGAATGACCATTCATATACGAAGAGCGTATATATACGCTCCCGAAAAGTGAATGTAACGTTTTTTCTTTAAAAATGTTGTAAGTTGAATTTCGAAAAAAAATGAGTTAAGCTTAGTTTTAGTTAGATATGGATGACTTCTTTTCATATTATTAATAACAAAGCTGAAATGATTCAAACACACACAATATTCTTATAAATTTATTAATAGAAGTTACGCAAAAAAGTGTTAATGCATTAATGTTTTTTTTTAAGTGCTATAAGTCCATTTGCTATTCATAAAAGTCTTATTTTCTTTAAACGTTTTGTTAATTATTTTCGGATAATGTAATTTTGATCTTGCTTATATTTTTAAAAATATCACCTGAATTTATTAATATTAACTGGCATTTCTAAATCAATCTAAAAACACAAACGTTTAAATATTTCAAAATTAGAATAAACAGATTTATACAATTTTTAGAAACAATAGCTTGTACGTGCTAGACAAAATTAAAAAATAAAGTTTGTATTGTTTTTTAATATATATATATATATATAATTATATAAATATTAAAAATAAATATATACATATAGTTGGTACATATATATTTGTATACATATACAATCTTTTATTAACATAATATTCAATTACTAAAATATTATAATTATTAAAAGTTCTATACGTTGTTATAGCACGATCTTTACCGAAAAATAATCATCATGAAACATGTGATAGAAGAGTATCGCTAAATTCATTACCGGAAAATTCTGGACTAAATAGTCATAATTTAAGATTACAGGAAACACCAAAACAATTATCTCAAACTTTAAATAACAAGGAATCAAAATTAAAACAAATAGGTATTTATTAATTATTGAACTTCTTTAAATATGATTAACATGATAAATTAATATGATATATTGTAAATTTTATTTAAATATATACTTTAAGTTGTATTGAAAGTCAGCGAACAATTGGGACGTTCTTGGAGAGATGTTTGCAGATTTATGAATCTTAAGGAATATCAAATAGATGAATTAGAGAATAAATATCCGTGTAATTTAAAAGAACAATGTAATAAGGTAATATATGCTTAAATGTAATTTTATATTAAAAATATTATATATATATATATATATGTATTTACACAATTAAACATTTTGCAGGCTTTGCATATTTGTATTTCGCAAAATAATTCAGAGTGGAAAATGAGTTTATTACACGCGTTAGAAAAAGGAAGACGTAAGGATGTTAAAGAGGTTGTTGAAAAAATCTTATTGCGTAACGAAATATAAAATATTTTTTGTATAAATATAATATGTAATATATAACATTATTATTTATAAAAAGGGAATGGAATTAAAGCTTTGAAAAAGTGCATGTAGCAATATATATATATTTTTTTCTTTAAATATACTTTATATAAGAAAGGTTTAAATATAATTGTTGTATGTCAAACAATTGTGTAAACATCACACATCTTTAATACGTTTTAGAAGAATAAAGCAAGATGCTGCATTTCATTGATCGTTGGTAATCTAATTAACAAATGTTAAAATTTTAATGTTAACTATTCGATATGCCTTATTTAGGAGAAACAAACAAGCAAAATAAACCACAATACTTTTTGAAATAATAATAGAAACGAGCTTTATTTCATGCAAACTGGAAATCATATGTAAAGTGACAAATGTGGAAAGTAGAAAAATACAGCAGCCTGCGCGTATCTTTCATAAACTACCTCTAAGCTATGTATTTATACATTTATATGATATTAATTTGTTACAATTTAATATTTATTTATTTTAACCTTCGTTCGATTACCTTTCGGATATGAAGTTACGATTTAGAAAAAGAAACAAAAAATATTTTTTCATCATTTTAACCAAATTGATTAATAGATTATATATACTGTTATTTAAATCAATATTAATGAAAATTTTGTTAAATACCTGTTATTCAATGACCAATATAACAATGAAATTTTTAAATGAAGTTAAGAATTCTTGACATATTATAATTAGACCGTATACGAATTTTTTGTTTGACTTCCTTTCTTGATCATAGTATCTTTATGTACTTGATATCCTATAGTTACTTTGGGTGTAATCCTCAATCTTTCTTTTAATTTACGTCTAGAAATTAAAAACACAATATCAATATAAAAATAAATATAGATTATATGAGTTGCTCATTAAGTCAACTTCAATGAACAAAAAGATTATTGCTAAAATAATATACCGCGTCGTATCATTTATTATTAAACAGTCAGGAAAATTTTGTTCTTTTAATAGTATAAAATCTAATTATTTAATAAATTTATTTTAATACTAAAAAGTTAAGTATCAACCAAACGGTTCTGTAATACAATTTGTACAAATTTTTAAAGTGGTATTAATCACTTTGAGTTGTGACTGGTTAATATAAGTAATATAAACTCACCCTATTTCCATAACGCTTTCTTCACAATTGGAGTTAGCTGTCCATACACCAATTTTATCACCTTTTAACCTAACATTAACAACAGCGCCACATACATCATCTGAGTATTCATTGAATGCTTCTCCGATCATACACAGAAGAATTTCTAGCCAAAAATGATCTAAATCCATAGCTCTTTGTTTCTTATCTAAATTAATAAGCCATCGTCCACCTAATTTATTAGCATCGTCTTCCCACATTGGTCGGATTCCTTGTTTAAACATACTATAATCGCAACCTTGTCTTAACTCTGATGCAGGCTTTATGTGATTGTATAAACTGTTAAAGAGAAAAATAATTTTATCGTTAATACAAATAATATACAGTGGATGTCTAAGGTTTATCTGGCCAAATTGTATCTATATTAAATAAACCATTTGACAACAATATTTTTCTGAAGAATAATAAATTAAATTTACCTCCAGAAATCTTCTGCAGTATCAAAACTGGTAATCTCACGTTGACTTTCCTCCCATAATTTACTTTTGTCTGGTTCATAGTACCAAAGTGTCCAAGTATGTTGAAGCGGATGTTTAATCAAAACTTCTGGTGGAAATTCATCAAAATTTATTACTCCTTGCTCCTTCCGTTCAATCTCCTATGAAACAAAATTTGCAATTAATGTTTATTACAAATTTACTTAAAACTTTAAACACAACGTATTAATCTACTGTCAAAATATTTGTGCAAAAAGGATGAGAGAAATAAAAAAAACTTTCAGGACGACCTAAAAACTAAGGTCAAAATCATTTAACCTAGAAAATCGTATACCCCGCATTGTAGTGGTACCACGCGAGTTTGAAGAGTTCACGTAACATAATGCACCGTTTTTGAAATATAAACATTTAATAAAACATGCAGACATTTAAATTAAGTCCACATCATTGTAATAAAAATTGAATAAAGAATAAAAGATAATAGAAAATATGAGAAATAATTATGATTCTCAAATCTGTATTGAAAGTTTTGGCAAGAAACAGATGTAGACATACGGTAAAAGAGGGGTAGTAAGAAATGAACCAAGCGACCATGCTACTTTCTACGATACCGGATTATAATTAAAAAAATAATTGGATAGATTTATCATTTTTAAATGATATATCACTTAGAAATTTTTGTTTATGTCAGGATAGAATGATTTTTATCTTTAAATACCTTGATTTCTTCCGTATTACTTGTAGCCATGTTACATATAAGTGCAAACACATACGAACAAGACGTTCTCGCTGACCGAACTGACTATGAAGACATCTGTCGGCAAAATTTTCACACCGAGCAACCCTTTCCGCGAGAAAAAGAAATGATATGAAAAGATAAAGAAGAAATTTATAAGAGAATAGGACATTTAATCCTGACCGGTTATACGCGGTACAAGATATGTTACGATCGATACGATAAATAGAAATTTGAAAAAAGTTCATTTAATGGTTACTTAAGATAATAAAAATCTTGAAATAGAAAATATATTTATACTTTCTTCTTCCTCCTTCTCCTTATTCTCCTTTCTTTCCTCGACCTTCTTTTAGTTTTTGATAATAAACGAAAATTAGAAGATATACTGTTCTCAACACAGCAACAAATTTTTTTTCGTGGTAAACATTTTTTTTCCAAGTACTAACGTCCACGACCTTCTCTTTTTTTCTTCGTATTTACTGTTTTGTTTTGGATAAACGTATAGGAAATTGTTTGAGACTTCTACGTTCATATATATATATATATACAGAGTTCGCAGAAAAATTGTATTTATACTCAAAGAAAAGAAAAATTTGTATTAAATTTTAATATTAAATTTATTCAGAGATCACGAAATTAATATCAGTTCTTTTACTTTTATAATTACAATAGATGTTCAAAGTAATATACTTTAGTTTTATTTTTACGGTAAACAATAACTTTTGTTTGTAGGGCAATGTTGACTAATATATCCAATTGGGTTACTGCACATACATTTTCCATTTCTTCTATAAAGGTTTAGCTAGTTTAGCTAGTTCAGTAGGTTTTCTACAATATGCAAACATTTTTATGAATGTCCCCCATAGGTAAAAATCTACAGGTATTAAATCAGAAAAATGTGCAGGAAACTAAATTGCACCTTTTCATTCTAGCCATCCTTGTAAATTTATATTCATATAAGCTAAAAACTAATAGAAACCTATTTTAACATGAATTAAAATTGTAAAAGTTCTGTTAATTCTTAGATTCTAATAAACATCTGAATAAGTTTAATATTATAGTATTCATACAAATTTTTCTTTTCCTTGAATATATATACATTTTTTTTTGCGAACTCCGTATACGTAATAAAAAAGATTTATACGTTTATTCAAGATCTATTTACAAGTGAAGTAATCGATATTGTTATATTATGTAAAAATAGATTTATATTTGGCTATTTTCAAGCACTTAATGTACTGTTTTTTTTATACATATTATAATATAAAAACATAATTTTTTTAACCTGAATTTTCTGGTTTAGTTAAAATTCTAATTGAATTTATATGATATAGTATACCATATAAAACGATCTTTTAAGTCTTACAAATATATAAATGATTTGATGAATTTCATTATTTTATGGAATGGTTAAAATTTTAAGAAGAAAATTTTAAAAATAAATAATTATCCTAACTTTAGTTTGCATTAACAAACGAAAGATAAATCTTTCTTCTTTTTTTAAATTATAGTAGAATTACAAAACTGTTTATTAATTTATATAATTAATAATAATTTAAACTTGACATCACACATTGACAGTGTTATTTGAATTACAATATGTATTTTCATAGCGATCTTTAGTTATTTTCATTATATTCAATATCTCTTTCACAATATTTTAAATCATTTTTTAGCTTAATATTTAGAAAAAGCAAAGAAACATATTTTAGTAATTTACAAATAAATCCTTTTAAACATTGATAATTAAAAATAATATATTACACATTCTAACGGTCATGAGTTTCTGTTTTGATAATCCGTATTTAAAGTTTTCAAATCTCTTTGCTTTAATTTAATATATTCATTTTTAATGGTTATATCTGGATTTATTACTAAAATTGGTTTCTTTGTAAATTCTTCATTCTCTTTCGAAGATAAATAAGTGGTGGTTTTAATTGATGTTGGAATAGATTGAATAGTCGTTTCTTCTGGTAATTTTGGCTTAAATTTTTTTTCGGGTATATTGACTATTTCTAGCTGCGAATCGTCTGATTTTTTATTACATTTTATACGATCGATATTCATAGAAATATCTTTCACGAAAGATTGTATTTTTTCGGTCGAAGCATCAGGAGAAATGTTAATGTTGGTGACTTCTCGTTTCTCTCTATCATGATTTTCTAAAATATCTCTTCGCATTACTTGAATATCATTATCACTTTTTTCAGTTAATTGTTCAGACTTATTAACGTTAGTTTCACTTTTACTCTGTAACATAAGAGGCACAATATTCTGATTTTGCGTTAATATTTCATCAGACTTATTCATTTCATTGACGATACTTTCTTTTTTACCCTGTGATATTTCTATGTCTCTTTTGTTCTTTGATAAAGTTTTTATTAAAATTCCTTTATTTAAAGCACTTACAATATTTCCCTTTGACTTATTAATAATATTATCAAACGTTGTATTGAACTTCTCTTGATAATGTGATGTTGAATGTAGTTGATCTGTATTCTTGTCTTCTTTCAAATTTATTTTTTCTACATTTTGAATATTGTTGTTATTCTTTGTATCGATTAACTGTTTAGAATCATTTGTATCCTGTACAATATTTTTATTTACGTTTTTAATATTTGGTATTTCTAGAACATTTTCATTGATGTTCGTTCCAATTGTATATTTCTTTAAAATTTTGCTTTTATCAAAATTTTTACTAATTTTGCTCCGTTTATTAATATTTTCAACTTTATCTGAATTAAATTTTTGTATAATATTTGTTTTATCGTTATCATTGTTCTTATCATTCTTTATGGACTCTTCTATATGCTTTTCTATTTTCCCTATTTCTATTTCTAATTCTTGCTTTTTTTCTTGAAGATCCTCTAGTTTTTCCTGTTCCTTTAACATTTCCAAATTTTCTAATGCTTGCTCTTCTAAATTTTGTCGATGCTTTTCATTTTTTGTTATCACCTTTGTATCAGCAATTTCTTCTTCAGCAGCTAGTTCAGAATCTTCTTTTTTTATTGCATCAGAATTTAGAGGATTATCAATTTTTAAAATTTCATTAGTCATTTTAGATTTAATTATATTAATGTTTTCATTAGCCTTTGACGTTACAAAGTTCTCATGCATTATCAATTTACTATTATTTATAACAGATTTAGGTTCTTCATTGAGGTGCTCATCTATTGTTTTGATCTTTCCAATAATTTGTTTAATTTCCGGAGCAAAACTAGCTCCTACATTTTCAGCAGGATTTCGTTCTTCTAGCATCAACTTCTCTGCAACAGCAACGCGTTCGACAGGAACTGGAGGTTCTTGACGAATATCACCGAAATGTTTATTTTCAACCATCATTTCAATTTTTGGTAATACATGTATTACTTTTTCTACAATTAAAAATAACATATAAATAATTATATACTGTGGGTGATCGTTTAATGAACAGTTCCGATTGCGAAAAAATCGGATAACTAATACTTTCGTGAAAGATTTTTATGTTTGGACAAGAAACATATGTTCGAATAACGAAAATCTAAGAGAATAAATACAAGAAAAATTGTGTTTCAAATTTATAAAATTGTATTTTTTTCAACTAAATTGTTAACAAACAATTCAGGTTGCAATTAAGTGATCATCCACTTTAATATCATATTATAACGTTCTTACCATACCTTTAACGTTCGATAGAATTTTAGGATTACTAGAAACAGGTATCATATGAATATCTTCTTTATTAAAATGTAATGGTAAATTATCTAATTGATTAAGCGATCTATCAGTTGTTATGCCAATTTTGGTATTAGAAGATTCTTCCATTGCATACAAATTGGCATATGTACCAAGAACCATTATCCAAACGCCAACGAATAGAATCGCCTTAAATGAAAAGTAATAAATAATTAAAATAATATTTACAATAAATATGATTGTCGATATGGGCTTTCCATTATAATTATTACCTGTGCTAATAATCTTTCATTTGTATGTTTGTTGCTCATGGATATGAAAAATGCTGCAGGAAACATTAAGCATATCATAACACCAATCGTAGATCCAACTAAACCAAGTACGAATTCAATATTTGGCATCAATATACCAGTAATTACAGAAAAAGATACTATCGCAATGGTAAGACATCTAAATCTTACTTCTGGCATGTAATTCATAGACGGTTCGTGAGTGTGTACCTAAAAGTTCTAACAATAATGCCCATATTCAATAGATTCGTCATATTATCTATATGCATACCCGACGAAACAAGAGAGAATTCAGACTTGCACGGCAAGGAAAAATGACTAGCGGAAAACTAAAAGCTACAGAGAAAAAAAATCCCATCTTAATCATATCTGATGATATGCTAGGTTCAAAGCTCATCAGTATATTTCCTGTGAATGAAGAAAAAGAAAGTTTATTTTTATTATAAATAGTTTAATTTCTTTTTATTAATATCTATATAATAAAAGCGTACCTGTGAACGGTTGTGTACAGAATGCAATATAACCAAAGAAACCAACGCATAAATATACCAAAGTACAGATATTTAATGCGCCTCGTACAACATCGTTCATTTTTTCGAGTGATACGTTTGGAATGGTTTCATATATTTCAAATAACTGTGTTTGGCAAAAAAGAGCCATAGAAAATATTGGCAAACATTGAAGAATACCGCTGGATCTCCAAAAGTATACGTTATTCGTCCAATCACCCGCAAATATGTGTTGTATTGACTCGGTGAATACCTGCCAATATAAAAATTATTATAAAACATAATAAATCTTGTAGTAACAAAGTATATGAAGTAAATAACACATAATACTTGTTTGCAATATTTATAGAATTCTTACCTTCAAAACAAGGCAAGCATAAAAACCAACAGTAGCGGTACAAATACTCGATAAACTGTCAATGTTTCTTAATAGACCCAACGGTAATATTATAAAAATACTTGTTATTAAAAGTAGACTAGTTCTTATATCATCAGGTTTTTTGTCTATCAGTTTCCCAACAATTTGTGGTCCCAAATCACCAACAACGACAAAAAATGCAATGCACGTACCAACGAGGAATCCAATAATAAAAAGTTCAACTAAAAATTTGCCCATATAGCCAAACGCATAAAAAGCAAGTAGCTCAAAATTACGTCTTCTTGACATTACCGATGACTTAATAAGAAGATGACAAGCAAAACGAGATAGAAAATTAGACAATAAAAGAATCAATGCAGCTAAAATAATGCCGCATTGTTTAAAACAAAATGGCATGGCGAGAACACTTACGCCGATAATACTATTAGCGAGTGTCATAACGTGTGATAAATGGGCCATTATTTAGAATAAATATAATGTCGTAGAATAATATCAAATAATCTCTAAACGTTTATTTTTAGAAGATAATTAATCTTTCATTAATTTTCTCCTGATCTTCAAATCTCTTGTATAAGTTTCTTAAGAATTTGTGTATACTTCTCCACTCTTGTTCTTTTTAATAATTTAAAAAATATTATATTATCACAATAAATAAATTATCCTTTTATTTCTTAATATATATATATATGTATATATATAGATATATCTCTTACTTAAATATACAATTAAATTGTCGTCCCGCCAATAAAACTTGTGTTGTTTTTAATGTTGAGGTTAGAAATATGGAACTTTAGTTGTATTATATTTTTGACTATTAGATAAGAAAAATGGTTTATGAAAACGTTTATCATACTAAATGAGGTCAAATTATATATATAAAATGTTTGTCACGTTTTTGACAATAATCATTCTTTGCTACGCATACTTTGTAAAATCGCGAAGACGACGTTTGCCGATGACTTTGAACTGTCACCATTTTGATAAACAAACATGGTTATTGGTTACACGTGACGCGACATGCACGTAGTAGTTCGAGTGGTATATTTAAATTTCAATTCATTCATCTCAATTTTTTTCTAATTTCAAGTTATAGAATAATTGTATTCACGCGTAGAAATTTCTTTATTCTTTTATTATAAATATTTAAAAACATCCGTATATGTGTATTTTAATATTTGGGCATAAATATATCATTATTTTATCTATCTCAAAAAATCCGGCATAATAAGTATACTATCATTACATTGAATTATTTTTTCTTTGTGTGATGGATAATTAATTACTTTGACTAAGTAAATGAATGTTATTATTATTATTACTTTTTTTCTTTTCGTTTTTTTTTTTATTCAAAGATCGGATCATTCATATTAGATAATTGCGCACTGGTCCGATCCATTCGGTGGAAAAAGTAGATTTCTGTACATATTGGTTAGCAATGGACGTTCGCTCTTACAAGAAAGATTTAAAAACTTTATTAACGGGTGGTTGTCGATTTTGAATATAATAATAATGATAATAATAATGATAATAATAATAATAATATTAATAATAATAATAATAATAATTTCGTTAATTAATAATAGCCTACCAGAGGCGGTTTTTATCAGTTATGTTTTTTAATGTTTTCCTTCTCACGAGAGCGATTTAACATCCACTAACATCAAGAATAAAAGTAGGTCTAGTCGTACTGATAAATTTGAACTCTTACGATTACTTTCGCTTATTATAAATATTCTTATGTACTATACCTACACTTGAAAATCTGTCATTCGATATTTCTTATCTTTGTTTTTCATTCTTTACCATCAAATATGATTTTTTTTTATATCTTGCATATAAAATAATATATTTTATATACTAAAGTGAATATGTGATTTATCTTTTGTTTTCATTTTATTATTTTGTTGTTGTGTCATTTTCGTTTGCAATCATCATTATGATATAATTATAATTATTAATATTATTATTGCGTGTAGAGAATTTCATTTCTTTTTTAATATTAGCATTATATTATGTACAAGAATAGAAATAGGAAGCAAAAAATTTTATTATCCCATGATCCCTTTGCATTAACTAATCTAGCAAACAGACCGTTCACATGACACCAAACAGGATTTGTTTTTTTTTTTAAATCTGTTTTTTACTGTCTTCTTTAATAGGGCATACGTTTATATGTACATGTTCACATGATATCGTTTGGTCAACCGTATACAGAAAAGTCTTATCGATCAGATAATTTTGAATATTTGGATAAAGAAAATATCTTATAAGATCTTATCAGTAGATGCAGTAGCAGCAGCATAGATATAGTGAACTTGGATTATTTAAACAAACATAACAAAAAACTTTAAGGAAAGATTAACACGTGATCGAGAAATTGCATCGTGTGAACGTTAAGTCCTTCGTACTATTAAAATGTTAAAACATGTTGGGATGTGTGTATCGATTCCTAAGTTTCATGATACATGTCACAATGTATTTAAATCGGTATCAGAAGTACTTACAACAATACAACAAAAAGTGTTTTGACATTAATATCACGCAATAAATACGATGAGAAGAATCAATAATGTGGAAGCAAATTGAAATTGATGCACATTTCATAAAACCTCGGAGTTGATGCATGCTCGCATCCCAACATGTTTTGATGTGTGTAAAGGCGGACTTTTATTAACATTCGGCGCAGATTTAGCAAAATTATCAAAATACGGTCAAAAAACCTGGATAGTGTGAACGTACTGTAATGCACCTATGTTAAATTGCGCGTCAACTTGTCATGTCGTCATTCAATTGAAATAATATCCTGAGAAATGGATAAGATAGACAATCAATTCGATCACATAGAACATTTCTTTTTAAAATTGATATATATGATATTTGTAGAGTATATGTTAGAATTGACTGTTACCTTGGTATCAAGAACTTTATGATTTCGTTCGTATTACCGATCTATGTCTGAAGGAATTAATTAATAATTTAAGAAATATATTTAAAAAAAATTTAAGTCACTATAAATATTTTAAGAATATTTAAATAAATTTAAATGTTTTCTTTTCATCAAAATTACTCTAATAAATATTTATGAAGGAAAAATAAAGATAATAATAATAATACAAAAGAATATACAAAAATTTCAAAGAAAATCAAAATCACGCTTATATACGTGTTTCTCAGTATAAGTTATTATGTTTTACGAACGAATATAATCGAATACTTATAATCAAGTATATATCTTTTGTTTCTATCGTATAAAAGTCGAAAAAAAAGTGATTTTCGGATTATGGGATGATGGTCTTAAGGTAACAAATATCTGTACATCACGTGCCCCTTTAGCACATAAGTTACCTAAGCTTATTTAAATTCGATTTAAATAAAGACCTCTGTAATAATTCCGTCGAGTAGATGCTATTATTTATCAGGGATTCGCCCCACCATCTTTTTTCGTCTCTTCATTCGAAACATTCATTTTTTCGTCCTTATCATTCTCTAAAATATAAAATAACATTTATTATATAATTATTTAAAAAAAAAAAAATAAAAATAGAAATAATAAAAAATATAAAGATCCTTTACATTATTTTTTATATTCTCTTTAAATTAAATTAATCGGTTTTAAATTTGAAATTAAAATGTTGTTTTCTATATTATTTTTCTTTCTAACTTTGCAATAATTATGAATATAACTATTATCGGGTCGTTTATGTAAAGACCCGATATTGAACGACGATATAAAGGAAGTCATACAATGCAACAATACGTATTTTTATGAGTGAATTTATATGAAATGTATACTTGCGTCAAATCATGTAATAACAAAAGGATTCAACATTTTGTTTCATTTATTATTTAACCGAGAACCTCTATTAATATTATTTTCATTAAATGATAAAAATATAACTTTAGTTAAAGTTATGGTATAAAAAAAGGTATCGTAAATTATTGATAGGGGTTTAGCGTTTTAATAAAAATGCGATAAATACCTTTAACTTCAGATTTGATATCCTCTTCCTTTTTTATATCACTATCTATACCTTCCTGACCCTTTTCCAGTCTTGGTCGTTTTCTGGAATTCTTTAGAAGATAATACTTTAATATAACGATAATATAAAATATGATTATTTATTGTCTATGCTTTAACAGTATATTATGTAACAATAAAGCAGAACATACTTTGAAAGACCTGTTGTCTCTTCTACCACCATCACCCTCGTCTTCGCTATCGCTATATTCATTTTCATGTTGTATCCTTTTGTCTAAATCTCTTTGCGATAATCTTTCATCGGGATTTATTTTCTCCTCTGCTTCGGAATCTTCGATAACAGCACCATCCTCTGGAATTGCTTGCACTTGAACACCCGGCGCGTGAGGCAACATTCTTAAGTTTTCAAATAATCTTGTTCTACGATAAAATAAAACGATGAACATATAATTTGGTTGTTTCATAACTTAATATATGTATATATATATAATAACTTAATAATTACTTTATCTTTTCAAGGTATTCAGGTGTGTTTTGATTAGCCATATTTGATGGGCTTATATGTAACTTGAAATCAGGTCCAAAATATTCAAAATAGTCATTATATGGAAGTTCATTAGCTATTTCTGTTCCTAGAGCAACAGATGTTTCATACGTCCAACATCTAGATACATTCCTTATTGTATAGCCACCTCCTCCAACCATTAAGAATGGTAGATTATATTTCTTAACAAATTCTACACATTTACCATGTCCTCTTACTGTTAAATTAAAACAGCCAAGTCGATCACCTATTACAAATAACAAATTAATATCCAATAATAATAAATGCGTAAAAATGTTAGAAATGTAATTGCACATATATATTAAATGTACCTGTTAAGGAATCTGCTCCACATTGTAAAACAACTGCTGACGGTTGGAAAGTTTCCATAACTTTTGAAATTATGGGTACAAAAATGGACTCATAACTTTCATCATCCATGCCATCCCGTAAAGGTATGTTGACTGCATAATATTTACCCTATTCATAAGATAAGATAAAATGAATTAAAAAATAATTTATTATAATTAAGCAAAATGATCTTTGATTTTGTAACACTAGAACTACCACACCAGTCATTTTGACTGGTTTTGGTAGATATAGCTACGTTTCAACTGTCTGTAATTCTAGTTTTAAAATTAATTTTTTTAACTTCTTACCTTGCCAGCACCAATGTCTCTGAGATCTCCCGTACCAGGAAAATACTCTCCATATTTATGAAAAGAAACAGTCATTACTCTATCCGTTGTGTAAAATGCTTCTTCAACACCATCACCGTGATGAACATCGATATCAATGTATAAAACTCTTTGATGATATTTAAGTAATTCCAAAATTCCGAGTACAATGTCATTTACATAACAGAAGCCTGATGCTTCGCTCTTCTTAGCATGATGTAATCCACCACCCCAATTAATACAAATTTCTGATGCTTGTTTATTAAGTTTTACTGCAGCTGCTACAGAACCACCGGCTGACAATTGGCAGAATTCATACAAACCATCGAAAACTGGACAATCTTCACCCACGTTAACTATTTTTCAAATAGTTAAATATTATTGTTTTTAAATATATAAAAAATTACAGACAAATGTATAACAAATATTTAAATTAATACGATTCTTACATCTCTGCATTTGTTTGTTATATTCCGACATATTGTCTGGCCTGATAGATCTTAAAAATCTAATATACTCATCGCTATGGAACTTTGTCATTTCATCAGCAGTAGCTTTATGTGGTCTCTATATAAAAAAAAAAATAAATTATGAATAATTAATAATAATTATTAAAAAAAAAAAAAAAAAACACTTTATGAAAGTGTTTTTTGTAATCATTGTAATTATCATAATTTTGTAACATCAATTATCTCATTGTTACTAACAGATAAACTAACAAGTGACAATTCTTACATAAATTTCCATCTTTCTGTAAAGACCATAGTTCAGTAGTAAATTATGTGTCATCCTTATGCGATGTGGTTTCATAGGGTGGCCTTGACCATAATAATAATTTCCAATATCGCCTGAAAATTAATTAATTAAACACATTTAATCATGTTTGTAACAATAATTTTGTTATTAGTTACTGAAGGTACGATGCTACGGTGCACTGAAGTTTATCTGAAGATCTCGAGATTTACGTATATAGATTTGATAATATTTATAGATATATATTTTCAGACTAAACATTGGTCGAACACAATTACGAATATTGATGAATGAAATAATAGCTATGACGTGAATTGAATTTTTCTGAATAAATTTAAATATTCCTCATATAACCTACAACTTTCTTAACCAAAACGAAACCGTAAATCAATGATAAATTAATAAAATATTATTTTATTTTAAGTAAATGGAAGATAAAAAAATATAAAAAAGTAAAAGCAATTTCTTCAGTAAAAATTAGTTAATCGCCTAAAATTTTATACAGAAAAATCATAAATCATGAGTGTTACATTTTCATATTAGATTACTTCGAATTAGAAACGACAGAATTAAAATTGTAAATTGCAATAATTATACAAGAAGTACCTATTTTTTTAAATAATTTCAATAATTTCAATAATGTCAACAAATATCACAATACATGCATATAACGTGAGAGATTTTCAAGTGTACATCGGTAATCCGTAGTGTTATGGCTGACGCCAACTTGCCTCTGAAAAGTACGGTGATACGAAGCGTTACTTGAAAATTTCTCGACTTAACGATAAAAAAATCATGCAAACATATAAATAACATGATTAAATTTCAACGTGTAATGTATACAACGCGTCGCTATTATGTATTTTGAACTAAAATTTGATTATTGTAACAAATATAAGACAAAAAGCTAATATAAAAATATAAATGCTGTGTACGTGCTGATAGAAGCGCGAACAGCACAAACACACATTTCGATGACTATCAGTGTGTGTATACGAGCTTTTCGCGGGTCAACTAAACACTTAAGAAATTAGTTATTATTTTTAACTTACTGTCATAATAATAGCAAACTCGCTTTTTTCCGTGAGACATTGTAGACATTTTTTATAGGTTTTCTTCAAATGATTACAACAAAAATTATGAATCAAACGCGAACCGCGGAGTGTCGCCGTGTTAACTACTAACAGACCACAGCGTCACTGGCTTTCCGTTTTACGCATGCGTTTCTTCACGTAGATCAAGTTTCGCGTTTGACGCATAGGTGGCATTGAACTTCCGAATTAAATATGAACCTTATTAAAAGAATTAAATATATATATATAAATATAATATAATATATATATATAAATATATATATACATGTATATTTATATATATATATATGTGTGTATATATATTTATTGTTTTTTAAATTAAATATTGTTATTATTATATGAAATTTTATATTACGTTCCATTCGTTAATTTAATATTATAATTACTTTAATAATACATTCATTTGATTATTATAAATACTAATAGAAGATGTTTCCGATTGGTAGCAACAAGGGAAATCATTGGTCAATTATTGAGAGGTGATTCATGAAAATAGAAATTTAGTTAGTAGTTGAAAGCAATTAAAATATAAAATTAATATGTTTAAGGCTCGTTTTCAACCTTTTATTCAAAACAATCACTTCAATGATAAATTAAAACAAATTTTGTCATCAATCATTAAAAAAAAAATGATCAAAACAGATTGGGCAATATTTATCGAAATAATATTTTATTTATTATTTTAAATAACAAATTATTCACAATTGAAATAAAAAATATTTCAAATAAGATATGATGTTTCTATGAGTAATATATTTTATTTTGATAATTTCAAATGTAAAATAAAATACTTTATCTATGAATTATAAGAATTATATTTTGAATAGTCTTTGGCCTGAAGATAAATTGTGAAATAAAACATTATTAAAAATAGTATTTTAAACAATTTTACAATAAATGAAATATTTTATTTAAAAAAATACATGCATAATGCAAAATAAAATATTTATTTATTATTTCTAATTTAAAATAATATTTTCCCCAACTCTCTGGATCAAAATTGTCGGCAAACACATTCTACCACCCATTTTCAAACTGAAAGGTAAGAAGATAAAGATACATACATACATACATACGTATTATTAAATATATGTATACTAGATATTAATAAAAATATTTTATAAATTCTTTTCACGCACGTGTCCGAAAATAACTTTTACATCGCGTATGTACATATACATATTTAAATAAATTTTATTTTGCAATTTGTACAACCTCACTGTATACACACACACACATATAATTAAAATAAATCTTATCGTAGGATAGTTCTTAATTATGATATAATGACTTTAATTCGTTTCCAAATTTCACAATGAGCTGCCAAAATTTTGAGTAAATAATTATAATGTCATTAAATATCACACACATCACGTGCGCGCACACACGCACGCACACACACCTGAACGTTCAATTTTAATAACTTTTTAATGACTAGGTTAATGAACTGTGTAAGTCATGCAATAATCTTAAAAGACTACATGAATATAAAACAAAAAACAAATATCCAAAACATCACATTTTTTCCTAAAGAAAAATTTTCTAAACAATTTGTTCAATTCATTTAAATGCAATAGCATCCATATTGGCAGTATAATTTTTCTTTTCTTCGATTAATCAATTATAATATTCGTATATTGATGATAAATTATAAAGATTTAAAAAAATTTCTGTCGTTATAGCTAAATGAGTACATACGTATGTATAATAAATGTATACAGAGCAGTGTAAATAGGATCTCATTTTGTACGATTATACAGAATACCATTAATTAGTTCATATGCTGTTTAAATGTCTCAATCAAAGTATTTCATACTTTTAAAGAAAAGATACTTCGTGATTTGTCTGAATTATCTTTGTGTATGCTTGTTTTTTTTTATATCATAATTTAATATCCATGCATATAACAAAGTGTATATGCATATTTTATACGAAGATAGTTTACAAATTATTCTTTCAATAAATTATAATATCTTACATAGATTATCGTAAAGTTGAGAGTTTACTGAATCATTTGCTGTTAGTATCTATTTTATATAAATAAAATACTTGCACATAGTTATAACAATTAAGATATGTTATAGCAGAGACATACAAAATTGGCTTACTAAGTCAATCGTTCCTTATACCAATATTTCTTTTTATTTTTTCTAAATAGATTTTTACAACAATTATATGTATATATTTTATTTGTATCGAGTAAGTATACTCGATTAAAGTTGATCGAATAACAGTAACGAATATTTTTCTCTGACAAAAAATTTGCACGTCTCTGTATTACATTTTTATCATTATTGTATAAAGGGTATAAAAAAATTCATAAAATTTGAATACATACTTGCAACGTTAAAAAAAAATTAACATTAAAAATTTAGATTTTTAAAACAAAATCGTAATCTTCCATAACAGAGTTAAATGTTACGAAAAACTTTAGTAATATTTAAAGTATTATCTCAAATATATTTTCTTTTTATAAGAAATATTTAACTTACGTTACAACATATTATGTATACTTTAAAAAATATTGATAAAAATGTAGTTCAGTATACTTCGAAAACACAATTATATTTACTATACGAAACAGTTTTATCAAATTAAATCAACTAACATAAGATAAATTATTGAAAATGAACTTCGAATGTTCTATTAGTTACAATATGTAAATATATATACACACTCGCCACATATCCAATAATAATAAATGTAAATGAAAATTGCAACAAGAATTCTTTTTCTTTTCTCAAATAAAGTTCATTATCATTTACTTGGCAGGATTATTTTAGTTTAATAGAATAGATATTTTTCGAATAAAAACAATATTATTTCACAAATGACAAATGTATATTTGCTGCATAAAAATAATGCAGTCTATCTAAGAACAGACAGTCAAAGATAGACTTTCTTAACAAAGGTAAAAACCCTGAAAGCCTATCTTCGTAGTTGGATATTTTTTGTGTTTTGTTTTTTTAAACACATATACAATATATCTAACGATCAATATTTTAATACGACTAGTACTTATCGTTTACAAGTTATTATAACTATTCAAATTTCAGAAATTACAGAAATATACTTTGCGATTTGGGAAGTAGTTGCCATAATAAATTTGAAGGGAAGGAAGCATTCTAAGAATTTTTGCACGATCTGAAGTTTCGTAACGACGAATTAGAAACTCTTAAGATATGCAATCATAATACATTAGATATAACTTATTTTAAAGGTCTTTCCATAACGATAAGATCTCTATGTGCAATAGAACTTTTAAATATCTTTATCTTTGCTATATTATATTATTTGCATATAATGTCGAAATTTTTTGATCACATCATCACATTGTCATGTATCTTTCCTTTCTTCCTATGACTTATATTTTCCTTTTTCCATTGACCTTCTCTTTTTAAATCTTATTCACAGACATATTCTACGGATATGCACGCATATATTGCCGCATATCTATTATTTTCTTTACAAAACACTTAACGAAAAGCCTTCATAGTGAAAAAAACTTAAGGAAAGTTTGAGGCGGTATTGGAACATGAAGAGAAGCTTGATCTACATCGGCTAACTTCTCTTGAAATGCTGGATCCTGATCAGCAATACATGGATGGCCCAAGGATCTCCAAAATAAGCAACGACAATTGCGGCATAATTGTATCATTTCTGCGTATTCTTCTCGCAAACCGAATGACCTAGACAATGATAATTACAAATTAGTTAACTTTAAATTAACTCAAAATTTATCTATATAAATATATGTGTGGAACAAAACTCCTCCATGCCAAACTTAACATTATAAGCATTCGTGAAGAAAGATTGGGTCGGTGGGCCCTGGATAGCTCAATGGATAAGAGCAGTCGCCCGGAAATAGAAAGATCCGGGCTCGAGTCTCAGTTCAGTCTGTCTAAGTGCTCCAGTCTTTTTTCACGAATCTTACATATATTTATTTACCTCCTAGCGATAGTAAATATAGTCTTCCAATCTTTCTCCGGATTATTTTGTCTGGTAGTAGCTATTTGTTGTGGAGTAAAATGATATTGTGCTAGTTCTCGCCATATTCTTTGTTCTTGAGCTAAAACTGCGAGGTGTTCGCATGCTTCTGATGAAGCTTCGATGTCCTGCGGGTCGCTTAATCGAAGAAGAACTTCTCTGCGACATTCTGCTGGTAAATCTGACCATTGTGGTTGTTGCTCCTCGTCTGGCTATATAATGATTTTAATTTAAAATCTTTTACATAACTAACTGTTTAATTTATAGAATATAACTATTGTTATATTAATAATCATATTTAACAAATTTAAGTAACTAACCAAGCAAATATATTTCTAACAATTTACCTGAGTTATAGTGATAGACGAGGCAATTTGTAAGATCCTTTCCAAAGCTGCTTTATGTTTTTCCCATAAAATTACTGAGCCTAGAGGTCTTCCACCCCAACAACATCCAGCACTGAATGCTCTAACTCTTTCGATTAATCGTCTTAATCTTCCAGTTTGTTGTTGCGATAAGGATACTGATGAAAAATCATTGAAAATGTATTGCAAGATCAAACTAACAGTTTATATGAATCGTTGATTTGTATAATTGATTTACTTCATTAAAAAAAATGTAGAAAAAATTGGTAAAATTGTATACATTGTCGTATCATTTAATATTCAATAAATATACAAAAATTTTGTATTCAATGATGTTTACTATTAAGGAAATTAATTTTAAATATGGAGAGTTAAGCATCAATCAAGTATGATTTGGTAGAAACATTTGTAAAAATTCGAAAAATGGAAATAATTCTTTTAGACTAAATGGCTCATATTAAATTTGAATTTATTTTTGAGGGATCATTCTGGTTAACACTTATTTGACCGCTCGTTTTTGAGGCTGCTGTTTAGTTATTACCGGCTTAGATGCGCATACTTTTGTTTCTAGCAATAGAAAAGTCAATTAATCGGCTAACTGTCGATGAGCGTTGGCAATAAAAGCCGATGAATCGGCTAGCGGTAAAAAAAGTGTTAAAAAATATTAGAAATATCGATTTTTTCATCATAATATGAGAAAGTAAATGGCCCTTTAATTATTAAATTAAGTTTTTTCTTACCTTCCAATGCTACTTCCTCTAACATATTAAAAAGGACTCGTTGAGCACAGCCACTCAAACCACCCATTCTGTGACTAACTAGAAGATCCAAAAGTCTTACGATGTAATTAAATCGACGACAGTCATGTACCGCCGATAAAAAGTCTAATCTCTTCAAAGCGTCACTTAATCCATTAAAACCGGCGATCTGTAAAAAATGACGTTTAAATATTTATTAATATTTAATATACTTTCAATAAAAACTCTATTTCTATTTAAAATCGAATTTAACTTTAAAATGACGATTCATAACTTCATTTGTTTTTTTTTTTTAATAAATAATGGATTGCCTGGAAAGTTGATGTCAATTTATAAATATATATATATATATATATTCTGTATAAAAATCGGCATGAACTTTTTGGGCAACCGAATACTTCACAATAGTAATATTATATACCTGATGTGATTGGAAAATTAAAAACAAAAATAAGAATTAAAAAAAAAATATAGTTTATAATACACTTAAAGTCTATAAATACCAAGTGTAATACTACGTATCGTCGCATACTATTTCTAACGAAGACCCATTGGTCACGTTGTATTTCCTTTCTTCTCCCTTCATACGATTTTTTCACCCTCTAGTAAAGCATGACAGACGAATGACCGACCGGCTTCTTAAGAGGCCAATCCCATTTCTTCCATCTTTCACGAGTCCGTGCTAAAAATAAAGACATCTGCGGAAGGAGTCACTCACCTCACGTGTGCACTTCAACGTGATGTGGCAATGCGGTTGGACGGCATTTTCTAAAATCATGAAAAATAAAATAAAACAAAATGTATATATATATTATATATACTTACATATACATGTATGTATAGGGTATTCCAATTTTTTCCATAAAATTTTATCAGCATATTTTATAATTGAAAATAAGAATAAAATTTTATATAAATATGGACTTTGAAATGCCTTTTTAAAAAGTTGTAATAAAAATACTAAATGATAACGGACCGCTGTTTTCTCGATATAACATAAGAACACATTGTTGGTAGCTATTTGATCATTTATTATTTAGTATAAAAGATTAACAGCAGTCTCTTTTAGATTTCTTAAGAAATGAATTACAGTTAGAATTGGTAAGAAACATTCTATTATTATTTCGTCAACATTTATGATTACAATTATATATATGGTTGTCTAGTTAAATAATTATTATCCCATACACTGAATAGGTCGAAGAGGATCAATTATTTAGCCACTAATATCATGAGAAATCACGTCAATGGATTTGTACTTGTGGCAAACAGCAAAAGCAAAAGTTTATCAAACACAAATTAATACGCGTAGGGAATTAATGTGAAGGATTTACGACGTATTTGCTGCAATTAAGGAAAATGGACAAGAGATTAGTAATGCAATAAATTGTATTCTCCATAGACACCAGGTCTGCATTCATAATAACAGACAATATTTAGAAATGGAATTGTAATTTCAATCGATAATCTATTCCTATGTGGTATCCAATAACTGAGTAGTCTGTTGTAATTTTGTATTTTTTTTTATAATTTTTAAAGGCCCATGTTTATATAACATTTGTTTCTTATTTTTATTTATAAAAAATACTGGTTTAATTTTGCGGATAAAACTGAGACACCTTGCGTACATACATATATTATTTTAACTTACTCACTAAAATGAAATATAAAATAAAACAAACAAAATATAAAAGCAAGTTAAAAAAAAATTGATGCTTGAAACTTGGCTTTTAAAATAGAATTTTGCTCGGGCTATTGAACGACAGAGAGGAAAAGTACACTTTCCCTTTCTAATTTCTTTGTCCTCTTCTATTTTTTATCCTCAGTTCATCGTAATGATCTTCCCACTCGAAACCGACGAACTTGAAATTACGCTGGGATGAAAACGAAGGTCGGAACTTACTCTGCTAATCGATAACAAACCACCCCACTTCTACGCCCTTCTATTTCCTTTATTGTCTCTTTCCTTTCATTCAAAAATTAATCACTCTGACTGCGATTAATCAAGATCATTGTAATTTTTTTATAACTAATATCCATATATTTAATATACTCTAATATATCTTATTTGATAAACACACAAAATAAAATTACTGTGTAAGGAAAATGAAAAATAAAAAATATAAAATATTTTTTATTGTTTTTATTGTTTTATTATAATAAAATATTATTATATTTATAAAATGAAAAATATAAAATATTTTTTATTTTTAAATATGCACAATATATGTGAAATTTTCTGTAAACTAATTAATATGCATTTCTGCAGCTGTATACAAAGTAAATAAACTATGTAAATAAAACGTCTACATAAAATACCGTGTAAATGTGAATTGCATAAAACAAAACTACCATGTAAAAAGAAACCTATATGTATATATATAACGAGTTATCAATTTTACCAAAGTAATAATCCTTCATGGACTAATTTATTTTTGAGTCCTAACTCAAAAATACCCCGTCTAGGGGGGGTTCGAAGAAATATTTCAAATAACAGTAATTGTTTTTTTTCTATAGAATATATTGTCGCTATAAAAAAGTAGGTCCAGTAAATAAATAAATAAAAAGAGGAAAAAAAAAGAAAGAAAAACACAATTGACCTTTAAATGGCCTTGAAACCTTCCGCTAAATAAAGAACAATAAATGCCATAATATTTCACCCTTGAAATCAAATAGCTACTGACCGAATAATTTTTATTAAAAATACTATTTTTTCAAGATAACAATTTGTAATATTACCTTTTTTTAAATATCTGGTAAATATAATAATATATTATTATATTAAATTAAGGACTTAAACAATTATTTTAAAATTTATATATATATAAACTAAGAAATAATTTTATAGCGTGATAATTGTATAATTACAATAAATTATAATATAATAAATTAAATGTTAAAAATTATAGCTATACATATATGTATAAAGTTAAGTTAAAAAATTGTATGCTTATTTGTCTCTAACAGCTTTGAAACTACATCTAAAAATAAAAGTGAGTTTGATCGAAAATAAAAATTGTTTCTATGCTAGGCTCAAAACTTTTCAAATCTACCTAAGTATATTCTAATTTGCGTGAATTCAAAATTTGACATGACGTGAATAAAAGGATAAATCAATCAAACTTTGTAATACTTTGAAATTATTATTATTACTTACCTTTTTTTCTATCCTTCTCCTTCTTGTCTCCTGCATCTTTTTCACCTCTGAAAAAAAGAAATTACAGAACGAATTTTCCAATAATTCTTATTAATGTTTTACACATACATGTAAATCTATATTTCATTTATTGCACTAGCATTTTCTAAATGTTATCGTAATAAGTTTTTCTAATAGCTCATATCAAATTGTTTCTCTAGTTCCGATGAGTTAAGGTCGATGAATCGCAGATGAGGTCGTTTTAAAAGACCTTGCACTAATCCGCTTACGTAGCACTGGGAGAGAAACCTCACACCATTAATCCACGACATTATGTAAGCATTAATACTTCATGACACATTTGATAAAACGATTGATGTTATAATAGAAGAGTTGTATGTATATGTAAGTGAAATATATATATGCATGTACTCTAAAAATAAAAATAGAAATAAAAAAAAAAAAATAAAAAATTATATCGAAAAATAAAAGTGAGTTGACCAAAAAAAAAAAAATGGTGTCTATGTTAGGCTCTAAATTTTGTAATCTAGCTACGTATGTATTATATTTATCTATGTATTTGATTGCTTGGAAAATTCGTGCCGGTTTATAAATAAATCAAAATATTACAGTGTTGTGTCTTGAAATTTTCATTAAAACCGGATTTGAATTTTCCGAACAATTTAATATAATGTTATTTGTGTATTCATGTTTGTACATATATAATCTTATTCATACATACATACATTTATTTGCATATACGATCTATTACATATACATATATATAATATTATATACATAATATGTAATTACTTATACATACACGGTATATATTACATATATATGTTTACATGCATATAACATACATGTTAATACATTATACATAAATCTTGACATTGCAAATATCGATCTAATAGTTCTTATGCATTTATTCTATATAAAAAGGTATCAAGGTTGATTTAAACAGATGATTATTTTCCTAGCTTTGTTACACGCGATCTGTTTAAACTTGATGTTTTCATCGATCTTTTCGCATGTAATATGTACTATACAGGTTACATATTTAGACACTTACGACATTTAATTTATCCAAAGATTATTTACACGTTGTTCATAATATAATAAATACAAACATAGGATTTTTATATATTAATGCAATTACGTGTTCAATGTAATATAGTAACAGTAAAACAAGAAAGAAAGAAAGAAAAAGAGAGAGAGAGAAAGAGAGAGAAAGAACAATAAAGAGAAAGAACGTCACAATCGGGTTGATAAGATTGTCATTGTGGCGTAAGTGGATCAGTAGTGAAAAGAATTCGCAAAGGATGAAACGTAATGGTCGTTCTCATTTTTATTGTATCGCTACTTTTAGCATGTATTTAAAATTGAGGGAAAAAAAAGAAAAGTAACAATGAGAAGAAAAAAAAAAAAAAGAGAAATATCAACAAATTCAGCTTAACACAAAAATAGAATTTGTAATATTTCAAATGATAGTTGTATAGCATCAAAAGTGAGATACGTAATGTAACAATTAGTTTTTTACTATTTTACATATTTATAGAGATACGAAAATTATTGTAATTTTTTTTTTTTTATTATAGCAGTTAAATTTTGACTCTGCAATTAGAAAATATATTAAATTGTTTGTAATCAGAATCTAATACATTTTTAAATTATAGAATCAAATCTTACACTTTATAATAAAAAAATTAAAAATCTTCAAATGACCTTCACATCTCAATAAATGTTTATTATATCGATTAATCCTTCCGATATCATACAACTTTATATTCAAATATTTTTTCATACAACAAACAGTTCACAAGTAATTTAATTGATACACTTACAATTAGAGATGAATAAAATTGTAACTGCATAAAATTTTGTTTTTTCTTTCTTTTATAAAATTTGATATAATATTGTATATAAAATATAACATTGCAAGTAGATATTTCAAATATTAAACTTGACAAGCATTTACTTTGCGATGCAGAAGCACGCTCTTAAAGTGACAAATTATTGAGGGATACATTTGTCAAGGCCGAGAGAGCAGGCAGTGTACCGAGAGGAATCATGAAAATAGGTAGAGATCGTATTAGCTAGGTCATGACCTACTTCTATACCAGCATACAACCAACGTCACAGATAACATTTTCTGGATTTCGAGGATTCCAATTATTTACTTCAAGGATACAGCATTATACTATATATATATATTGTTCTTCCTTCCTACTTTCTTTTCCTATCTTGATATTACGTGCTCTCATCTATGTATGATTAAGTTATGTATTGTTTAAGACTTTTTAGGGATAACCTAATTGATCCAATTGATAAGATTATCTTTCAAAGATGCAATAAAGAAATTATTATTCCATTCGTTCGATAAGAGTGAACTAATTTTTACATCGACAATATGTTAATATAACAATTTGGATTATTAATATGAAAGATTTTAATATATCCTTGTATTCGTATTTTTCCTATGACTTATACTGGTTCTATGTAATTTTAATGAAATTTAATTTATAGTTCATTAAATTTCGATAGAAATTATGGACTATTTAATTTTTAATGATTTATTTAATAGATAAAAAAAATTCAATTTTGTACAAATTCGTCTATTGTATAATTTATATATTATAGACTCTTTGATCTATTATACCATTACAACTTAATAATTGTAATCCATTTTTAATCCCTGACTTTGATCTCAAGCATTCTTTATTTAGCTTCTTTTTCGTTTCTTCGTCAAAGTTGTTGAAAACCCTACAAGCCATATAATAAAACAATTTAAAAGCTTAACAGTATAAAACAGTCCTTTCTAATTACTTAATGTTTCTTTTATTCAAAACTATTTAAAATCTATTTGAAACTCTTTACCTAATTGTATTTACGATCCGAGTACTTTGTAAGTTAAAACTGCAATAAAATTTCATTTTCAATTCTAAAAATAATCCAAGTATCTTCTAAATTTTTATTTCAATTTACAAGCCAGCTGTAAATAAAATTTACGAAATTCTTCATTTAATATTGTACTATTGTTTAAATTTACAAACGTATTTAACTTATTTGATATTTATATTAATTTTTATAATAGTATTGTTTAATAATTTATGTTAGATATTATACAATTTTTATAATATTATTTATTGCGTATATATTATGTCTTATTAACATTAATTGATTCAATAAACGGAAATGTTTCAAATAAAGATAGCGAGTTCCACCATTTTGTAGTTAACTGTTCCAAATCATATGATACAAAAATCTGAATTTAAATTAAATACAAAATTAAATAGGATATTAAATAATCCATTAAAACTAGATTCAGCTAAAAAGTAAAAATGATTGATATTCTATATCTTGTAACGTTCCAAATTATAAAACATTTAAAGAAAAATACGCAGGAATTTACTTTCTTCTATTTTTTGTCGTCACTGAAAGTTACGATGAAATTAAATTTAAAAAAAAAATCTTTACCTCAAATTCAAAAAATCATAAGAAAGATTAAGATCAGATGGTCACGAACAATGACTTTTTAATTTACGCATATAATTTTGATAGAACTTGATTTAATGTTAATATTATAAAAATTTAAAAATTAATCAACTTTTCGTAAATACATAAAGAAAAAAAAGAACAAAAAATACAAACACACATACATACAGGTATAACAAGTTTTGAAGTGAAGAAAAAAAATAGCTCTAGAAAATTTTCATCCAAACTAGTAATTTAAACAGAGTTTTAAATAGTGCCTACTTAACGTTAGTCACTACGTACGGCTTTCTTCGTTATTAAAGGTAGTTGACCTTATATAATAAAGAAAGAAAGAAGAAAAGAAAAAAAAAGGGAAAACTAGACTGAACTCTCGAGAGTAAGAGGGGAACACGATCTATCGTTGAGCAACATAGAAAGTCTTCCACTTTGCGGTCGGCAGTTTTCTTGTTGCGAAGCCTATGACAACGGCTGATGCATTGTGTCTACTTGCGATTGAAATGAATAAGAAAAAAAGTAAAGAAAATAATAATAATAATAATAATAATAATAATAATAATAGTAAATAAAAAAAATTGATATTTCTCAAAAATTGCGTATGCTCATTTATTTGTCCGCCTAATGTAATTAAATTGAAAAGGTATGCATATAAATTTAGTAAAATTCACGTGAGCTGCGTCACAGTAAAAAGTGCATACTACAGGAATGTATTAAAAAAAGATGAACTAATTTGCAGAGAGAGAGAGAGAGAGAGAGAGAGAGAGAAAGAGAAATATCGAAAACAGAAGTAGTACAGTATCTGTTATTCGATGCTATCACTGTGTCGAGAAACGAGTCCTGCGCTTTGGAACGATTTGCCGTAAATACTTGCACTCTTTGTCGAAAAGATAGGCCAGATGTGCTATTTTTAAATTTTCAATAACTAATGTACAATTTAACGTCTGTTACAAATAATATAACAATATTTTGAAAATCAAAATATAATATATGGTTTGTTAGAAATAATTTACACATTGTCTTAAGGTTTAACGTATAACAAAGAAAAGAGTTTTATTCTTAGAACAAAATAAATAATAGGACATACACAATAATAACCAACATATATTTTAACTAATAATAATTACTTTTCAAACATATGCGCTTATTTGATAATGAGTATATCCTTTTTGGTTTTTTTTTTTTATAAAAAAAGAAAGATTTTTAATATAATTTTGATTGAAGATATTCCATTTATATGCAATAGCATTTTTTAATTCATATATATAATATAATATAATTTATATCATATTTATTTGTTCTTTAATTAAATTTATATATTGAACACGTATTGGTATTCATTCTCCTATTGATGAATTTGATACTTGTCCTGTGTTCGAAATAACCGATTCCGGTCCAAACCATTACGCTGTCTCCTCCCATTTGTTGTTGAATCGTGAAAATAACATTGTAACCCATCAGGCTAAATCTGTTTCCGTCTGAGAACAGCACTTTTCTCCATTTCTTTTTTCAATGTGCTTTTTCTTTTGGAAAGTAGCGTAAACATTCCGCTTTATTTCGTCGTTAATGCAAAGTTTTTTTTCGATTTTAGCCTTTTCATATTTGCAACAACTCGACGAATATTCAAAACATTGGAATTTTTTTCTTTGCTTTATGGTTATAAACGAATTCGAAGCCATACGCAAAATTGATCATTTATTGCAATCAAATAACGATGATGGCCTACCAATACTCTTGGCCTACCCAATACTCTAATCTTTAATATTTTAAAAAAAATTATGTATTACCATACGATTTCATTCGATTACTTTCGATATCTTTGCTACCGATAACTGTTGCTCTTTTAATTCAAGAATTTACTTTTTTTTCGATTTGTTTAATTATTTTTCGCGTCTCATACTTACAAATTTGTATGATATTGTATTTTAATTTTTATTCGTTAATAAATTAAAGAATACTGAGTAATTTCTAAACAAATTAACAAAGCGTGCGTGGTATCATTTTAATTTTTAAATTTAATAAAAGGTTTTCTTTCTTATATGCATAAAACTACGATATTTTGATTGATTTCCAATGAACTTCATATTCTGAACTCATAATATTTTTATATTATTCGTCAAATTTGACGTACATTATTGAAAAATTAAATATAACATACCTGGGATATCTTTTTGACGAGGAATGTACCTCAGCTGACAGCTGTTTTTTTTTTAAAGAGATAGTAACTCTCATTGAATGCTACTACTTCAAAAGGATTCGCAAGAACGGAAAGGAGAGAGTATGTGTGTACATTTAAAATAAAAGAGTTTCAGATGCATATACATGTGTATATGTGTATGGATATGGATAAAATGTGATGGTGAACGGTACTTACCGAAGTAGAAGTGACAACGTCTTATTATTCGCACACTCTAGGATTTTTTTCTTTTCCCATCCTTCGACCGTTTTAACCCATTCTTCGCCAGGACTACGCCAATCCTTCGATATGAACGGCATACTGGTTCTTTTTTATTATTTTATTTTGACAATCGACTTTTGTAAATAAAGGAAGAGAGGATGACACAAAGAATACGTCAGAAAGAAAAAGAGAGAGAGATAAGAAGGAAGGGTAGAAAGAGAGAGAATCGGAGAAAGACAGGATAGCTTGGTCACGTTCGCCTACGCGAAACACACTGAACAACACCGGCTCGTCTCTCCTTGTTGTTGTTGTCGTCGTCGTCGTAGTTATCTCTTTGGCGAAAAAAGTGGTTACAAGGAGTACCCTCAACGCTACGAGTAAACGTCACGTTTTCTCGATGCGATCGCGGCCAGGACCGTGCGCTTTCTTTCGCGGTCGCACGATCGACCGCGCATGGCTTTGTTTCTATGACGTCAGTCAAGCATCAGCTGTGCGCGAAAGAAACAATGCGACGTTGCCGGCTACTCGGAAGAATGCGTCTATACTCCTGTTCGACGTTATTGGTGGAAATAGCATTCCATGCGCGCGCATGTTTAAAATTTTTTAAATTGCATATACATTTTTTCCGAATACCTTATAAGCGTTAATAATTTTTGCAATAGATTGACAATTAGTCTAAATATTTAAATTACTGATATTATGATTTATTTTATAATATAAATAATTAAATTAAATATATTATAAAATAAGTTCTTTTAAGTTTTTCATTTAGTCCACTCATGTAATCGCTGGTACATACAGTGAATTATTAATAATAAATCTAAATATTTCAATCATTGATTTTATCATTTATTTTTTATTACAATTATTTTTTTTATCAAAAATTAGTACAATTTAAATTTTATTTACTAAAATTCATGATTAATTGAGTTATTATTTAAAAATAATATAAGCCCATCTACATAGCCCAAAAAAGTCCGCTTTTTTATATATCAGTTTTTATAATTGTTATTAGATAATAAAATTTAATATTACTCTTATTCATTAACATTTACCAATATTTTTAAATCAATGTTAACGCAAATCCTTAAATATCTCAAAATAAGAATAAATGAATGTAGTTATCTACATATGAAAGAAATTGTTCAATTATATATTTATTGCAATGTATATAATATATATATATATACTACAATTATTTTTATTATAAATTAAATCTTAAAATCAATTTGTTGCATTTTTTGCACTTATTGTTAATTTACTGTTATAATTATTGATACATATAAGAGTTTCTCCCTGAGCAAAGTGATTAACTTTACTTTTGGAATTTATTTTTATATTGTAATATTAAAGCACTCAGTTGAAGTTTAATTTTGTATGTCTAAAATATATTTCTTTAATAATTAGTCTTATCATTATTGAAAGATTTATCTTTCAAATATCATCTTGAAAGATTCATCTTTCAAAGATTTATTTTGACAAATTTTTAAAATTGTATGATCATTGAATAAGAAATGATTTAACAATGCAATGTGACGATCAATAAGTAATATATTACAATTTTTAATATAAAAAATATAAATATTGCATATTTAAATATGCAATATTAAAAAGTGTTTCAGTAGAAAAAGTATTTAATAGTATTATTTATTTAGATATAAAACATTAAATAGCTTTTTAGTATAACAATATTAAGATATAAAATGTATTTTTATTCAAGTACAATGAGTGATTGGTTAATGAACATAATCTATTCAACAATGTGAGCATTGTTGAACAAATTGTTGTTAGACAAATTGTTTGTTAAATGATCTGTATATTCTTTCTCAGATATAAAATATCATAATCTCAAAAAAAAAATCTCATTCTTTTCAGATATAAAATATTATACATTCTAACATTACTTAATAGTCAACACAATATATTATAATATAACTTTATTAATTTTCTATACTTTTTGTTTTGTGAAATTAATTGATTTGGCAAACATGTTGCTCATATCACATAGAAATCATTCTAATGTGATTTACATAGTTTTTTATCATTTTCATTTAAATATATTATTTAAATAAATTAAAAATTATATCTAAATATATATATTTAGTATAAATTTGGTATAAATTAATATTCTTGTAGGCATGACCATAGAGTTTCTTACGCTCACGAGTTTAACAGATGATTATTTGCGTAATTATTTATTTAAAATATCAATAATATGCCAATTATCACAATTATCTTTTTGGATTGTTATGTTTTGTTTTCACTTTAAAAATGTCAATCTTTATTCATATAAATTCAGAAAATCAAAAAGTCAAATTACATGTTACACAGATTCAGGAATAATTTTGTTTGAATATGATTTATAAGATTCTATAAACTATTTATAATAATCGGTAAATTATGATATATCATCTCAATAGATTGCAATATTATACAGGATTATTTTCTACTATGACTTTTACAAATAAAAAACTTTCTTATATGTCGCATAAGTATAATAAAATTAAATAAAGGTTATGCAGAAACAAATTAAAATAGTGTTAGCCACTATTGTGAAATATATCAGTCATGCCTATTTTGTCCCACATAGAAATGTTTTTTTATAAATTACATTTACGTTTTTACATCTTGTAGCTTTTTGTTAATTTCACTAACATCGTCATCTTTTTGTTCCTCTTCTTCCTCATCAGATTCTGTATCGGTTGGTGGAAAATCAGGTAGTGCTTCTAATAAAATGATATATTAAGATATGCTTTTATTTTTATATGAGGAAAAATGTTATCGTAAAATATTTGTACCTTGTCTATCTAATCTCTCTTGTCTAGCGTTTGCAATGAAATCATCTTGAACAGCTATAATTTCTTTAGCATCCTTACAGGTAGCATATCTTTCTAACAATTCCTTATTCAATTCAAGAAAAGAATGGCCCCAGGAAAACTTATCTAAATAATAATTAGCTACATCTGGAAATCCTGTTATGATCAATGCTGCGGCTATTGCTTCTACACAACTTAATTTACACGCTTTTCCATAATTAATTGGATTAGCTGCAACGAGGAAAGGTAAAAGGCGAGAATTGGATGCCTTTATTTGATCAATTGGTGTGGTATCTATGCGAGCCCAACTACAATCCACAACGGCACAACCAAAATCCTGTACAATATTGCGATCCATTGGATTGACGCACTGTAATTCAATAATTGTTATAAATATTACGTATAATTAGAACATAAATTGTAAAAAAAAAAGAACAATTATTAAAACTTACTTGTGTGCCTGATGGAGTGAGTGCTAAACCTGAAAAACGTGTATTTAACCGTAACGTTTTTATTAACCCATGTCTAGATAATTTTCTACCGGTACATTTCTTCGGATCGCATTGTTCTAAATCCCACATAGCAACGGGAAAGGGTATTGGCCATTCTTCTTCCGATTCTATAAAGATGATAAGAAGATGAAGAGTTTAGAGATTTTATTCAAGTCATTTATTCTAACCTGATTCTTCCTTGTCAGATTTATCTCTTTCTTGACGATATTTTTCTTCCTTTCCTAATACACGACGATGTCTTCTGTCCATCATTTTATTTTTATTCTTTTTACGGGCTGACATTTTTTTAGAAATTTTCAGTTAAAGATAAATAAATAAATTTAAAATTTTGAAAATGTTGGACACACCGTTTACCTCGTACTTTTAAAACACACTGATGTAAATTTACAGTAGAGGTTAAGTTTTATGTAAGGATTTCTGCGCATTCTCTAACCTTGCTATTATATATATATATATATATGTCTCCTCTACGAATTGTTTATATATACGAAGATTTATATATATGTTATGCACACGTGATTATATATATAGGAATGATATTCGTTTAAAACTGCTTTTTTGAAAAATAATGCAACGTTAAGAGAAAATTCATTATTATTTTGAAAAATAGAAAAGATGAGAGAAGAAATGTCAGGTATGATTATTGATTATTTATAAAAATATGTAGTTTTAAAATTATTTTACAAATTGTAAATTGAAATGTTTAAGTTTTATAATTAGATTGCAATTAAATTGCTTTTCTTTTTCTAAAGATTTTTTGATTTAAGATATTTTATGAATTATGTTATAATAAGATTGAAACAATAATATGTATTATTTTTTATGTTTTTTATAGATTATTATTATTATTATTATCATCACATTTAACGATCAAATATATATTTAAGATAATAGTTAAAATGTTTTCCTATTAATAAACAATTTTTTTATTTATATCTATTCATTTGAGGTAAATATTATTTGAAAAATAATTTGGACAATAATCGTTTAAATAAGTATGTCTTTTAACGATTATACAAATTTATTTTTTATTTTATATTATATTAAAAACGTAATACGATATTCACAAAACAATATTGATAATAATAATTGTTTTATAAAATAAACAAAAAAGAAATATTTTATTATTAGCAGTATGGCATATTTTTTGTTCAAGCAGCTACACATTCTACGGGAACCATGAGCATTTCAGAACCGGTAGGAGTGCGTTGACTAAAATCAGGATTAGCTCCCTTTTCAACTCTTTTCATCAATGCTAAACTTTGTTCGTTCTTTGGTAAACAATGAAGATAATATTTCTTTTGCCTTGTTCCATTAGGTTTACATCCGCTAGCACACATCGGTACAGGTCTCATAGTGAAGCAGATCTTATTCTCCTTGGTTACAGCTCTAATTCGATGACTGTGGCAATTGTTCATATTATCTTTTTTGTGATAACCCCATTGTTTCCAATTCGTAGTTGGTCGTCCAGCTTCCTCGTCGCTTATCACATCACTGAAGCGTGTAACCTCTGATACGCACTTAGAGAACATAGCCTTTTTCGCATGTTTCAAAGCATTTCCTTCGCATCGTTCCTTCAAGATATATGTGGATGCAAATTCTTCTGGCTTCTGTAGTATGCAGTTCTTTGGAGTGATAAAGTCATTTTCTGGTCTACCATCATAATCACCGCAGAGACCACGAATAGATTTTCTATATGTGTCAGGAACCTACAATGAAAGAATAATAAAATTTATTATGAATTATAATCTTAAAGATAACGTATTATTTCTGCAGCTATTACATACCTCAATTTGTACGCGGTCGCCATCGTAGACCAGATCAAGATCATATTCTGTTGATGACAATTTGACGGCAGGCCCAGGAAGTTTATATATTTCATAGACAACTTCATCGTTCTTGACTTGTTGGTAGCTTTGTTTCTGCGAGCATTTCACTTTTTGTCCGTTAACCATAACTTCATGTTCCATACCAGTTGGTCGAAGTACAACTTCGTCATTACCCATTTGAATTCTAACTTCTTTTTTGTTATTTTCCATTTCTTGGGCAACAATGCTTAATTTCATATGTTCAGGAACATACCATAATTCATTATACTTGTTTGGATTATGTTTTGGGTAGGTGGTTAATAAAACGTGTGGACATTTACCAAGGCGCAAGGGATAGACTTTACCATCAAAAGTTGTTGCTTCATCATTTTCAATGGTACACGACTCTGAAAAAACAGTTGATTTTAATGAAAGGATTGTATATTTAATTATCTATAAAATGTGAAATTAAAAATGTTTACATATTTTAGACTAGTCAAATTATTTACCTGTAAGTTCAATGGTGTCTTTTTCGTCTGTTTCAGTATCAATATCATTCCATATTTGACACATTTCAAAATTAGTGAAAGTAAAAGTGTTTCCAGGTATAGATATTTTACCATCTGCGCTTTTCATGTCAGGTGATAATTTAATTTGAATCATTACTTCGTTGTTTTCCTTGTTGTTTGATTTTCTCGTAAGTTGCATGTTCGATATTTTTAAAAGTTTGTTTGAATTCTGGACAGCATTTAACATAGCATCATTATCTTGTTCAGAATCAAAGTTGATTGTCATTTCCATTCCGTTTACTTTTCTAGCCATATTTATAGCTCCCTGGCAATCTCTAATTCTATTTTTGTGACTTTCCTTGCATTTCTTAGCCATTGACGATTCTCGGACGTACGTTTTATAATCCTCAGTCTGTTTCATCTTTCCTTCAATGGCAATATGTTTGCCTTCAGAACACGTTGTTCCAGCTTTAATATTAAGGCTGAATTTCACCATTGGATCGTCATTAAGTATTTTCTGGTAATCAAAAGGTACTACTGCCGATTTTTTCATTTGAGCATTAGTGCAAATTTCGAAAGTTTCACCATGTTGAGGTATGTTCACGTGCATGTACGAAAGACTTCGGTATTTATTTTCAACATCGCTAGTAGCCATACACCAGGTCAAAACGTGACCACCACCCCATTTTCCGGGTATTTCCACACCAACGTCAACAACAAACGCATCTCCAGAATTCATACCTTTAGAAGCTTCTAGCATGTAAGTTTTTCTTCTAGTCGGGCTATCAGGTGTGTATTGGTCTGTTAAAACTACTTTCTTGCCGGATTCCCAAGTTCCCTCATCAGAATTATCATTTTCTGGTCTAATTTGCATATAATCCCAAACGACAAAAAGTTTAATAGCTTCGTTTTCTTGTAGATTAGATTTGACATAAATGTCAATTTTTTTGTATCTACCGTCACTTGAATACTCAGTTGCCATATCATCCCACTTATCGTAACTTTCTAGGAATTTTTGAAATCTTCTTACAAGATTTTCACCTTCAGCCTCTATGGCAATAACGCTGTTAAGATCTTCTGGAATTCTAATATGTGTTGGTTTTTTCGATTCTACTCTATGAGTGTTCTTGGTTAAGAGCAATGGACGTAACGACAGGAGATCATATTGCGAGGTATAAGGAATCTCACTATAGTGTACCAGTTTGGTCCTCTTATTGACATCTTCTTTTGATGGTCGAATTGTTAAATCGATTCTATGTTTTTCAGAATTGAAATTGTAATTTAGTCTAAATGGTAGGAAAATTTGTAAATTGGTATCAATGCCTGATACGTATGCTTCATGATCAAATGGTGTTATGAATCCAGTTCTTCCTTGATCTCTTGTACACATAAGTAGACGAAGCTCGAATCCAGATTTCATATCTGGTTTAGCTGCACCACTAATTTTGTAAAATACAGGTCTATGTAAGGCGTAAACAAAAGGTAAACCAGTCTCAGTAGGAAAACTCATAATCATGTCGTGGTTTAACCATTTATTTTTGTTAACACGACCACTGTGCTTCGAAGACATTAGATCTGGAATAAGAAAGAATATATTTTTGTGAGAATTATGTGTGATAATTGATATATTATTTAAAATAAAATGAAAATAACTTACAACGTAAAACTCTTTCAATGGTATGATTATCAAAAGCTAAGTAACTATCAAGATACGGCGTCCTATAGAAGAATGTTCCTTCCACTTGTTCAACATCATTCGATTGGATGTTAAGCATTTTAGCGATTTTCTCCGTAGGTGACTCCCCAACGTTTTCTTTTTCAGATTTATGCCAATACATTTCTAATAGACTCTTTACACTCGACAAACTCAAACCTAATTCATATGGATAATCAAGGAAATCATTGTAAGAAGGTTTCATAGCAAAGAACATAGACATTGGCAATATGCTATCTTCACTTCCGATAAAATTAATTAACATTCTGTAACTCAATTGATCATTCATTCTAACTTCCTCAAAATAATTTTGTGAATCATAATATTCAATATCTACTGGATTCAATAGATGAAGTACTTTGCGAGCATTGCTTGCTAATCCTTGCCACTCAGGATACGGTAACTTAGCTGCATTTTCAATCATTGATTTAACTGCAGAAATGACATGTCTATTATAGTCATAATTGGTGAATTGTGCCATACGCGTGAGCATATCTAACGGTGGACTCGTTTTCATTAGTAAATAGACAGCAGCGCAACGAATATAATGAACGTCCCAGGTATTGAGGTAGATCTTGTATAAGACAGAACGTGCAAGGCTAGGTTTAACATCAGCTAATCTTCTTAAAGACATAACCATCAGGAAACGTTGGTAATTTGACACTTGTTCCTTGCCCTCGAGGTAAGGCTCAAAAACGCTCAATATCTTCGGATGTGCTGTTATACCTAAAGCAATAATATACACTTGAATTCTTGGACTATCTCCATCCTTGATAGCTTTCCTCAATTGTTCCGCAAGGAATGGAATGTATTTTCTTAAAACTGCGTCATTTTGTTTAGATGATAGACGGCCGAAAACATTAACTGGATAAAAATTGAACATGCTGTTATTAGAAACTTGAGTGAGATATACTAATTCAGCGAAGGATAAAACCATCGACGAATTGAGATACATTTGTTTTTGTATCTCTGGATTATTTGCCATTTCCTGTATAAATAAAAGAAAGTATGTTACTGATATTTTTTATTTGGATTAGATTTTATTTTAATTTGGCTATAAAAAAACAACATAATGACGGGGATGATACTTACAAATAAAGTATCGACATATTCGGCTGTAGGTGTTCGTGCAGTCTTATAAAGGGCTGATACAATTTCGGCAGCTTCTGATTCTTTGATCTGTTTTTCTTCGATCCAACGTTTGATAGTCATCAAAGCAGGTCCAGTTCCTGCACTAGCAACTGCATCATGAAATAGAGCTTTAATGTCCTCATTTTTAATTTGAGTCCGTTCGTCAGAACTATTTTCATTCATAATGGAATGCAAGTTTCTTTCGACATTGTTGATTTGCTCTAAACTCATGCTACTGATCAATCTACAAATAATCGTGAATTTTTCTAAGGTCTCTTCTTCAGACATGGTGTTTGGATTTTCTATTTCGTTTACAATTTCTTCGGCAAGTGTCGATACCATTTTAGTAGAGTCTACCTTATCAGATAATAGGACTGCCTTGCCCTTGTTACCAATGAACAATGGTAAGAATGGATTTCTAGGTGCATCTTGTAACGTTGGTTTTTTCTGCCAATATCTTTTGTCCTCGTCATTAATAACATTGGTTTTGTGACCAAGAGTGTGACCATACAGTTCCTTCATAAGTTGTAGTTCTTCGTTACTTTCAGAATTAGAGTTCATTTCGTTCGACATCGAATTATAACTTTCGCCAGGTTGTCCAAGTCGTTGACGTTCAGTTTCCGAAAATGGATCGTTGTAAGTGTAAATTAAATTTCCAGTTGATATAGGACGAATCGGTTCTGGTATTTGGTTTGTTGCTTTCTGGACACTAACAAGAGTCACATTCATTTTACTCATTACAATGCTTTCTTGTTCATCTGCAAGTCTCGGCTTCATGATTACTTTAGTTGTTGTTACAGCCGATTGTACAATAAAGTCCTTAAGAGTTCCAGATAAAACCATATAAGACGTTGAGGTTTTCTGTAAATCGAATGAACATATTGTGTGAAAAATTAATGTCTTTTTAAAATTATACAGGCTTAGTGTATAGTGTAAATCGGATATATTTTACAATTGCACCTCACGGCATCCCAACGGAGACATAGCCGTCAGCCAGATTTGGGTAACGTGATGTTCAATTGTTCTACGTAAAATTACTTAAGTTTTTATTGTCAAATAAATTGATATATTAACTTACTTTCATAATTCGATCATTGTTTCTAATATCGGATTCCCAGTTTAAATTTCCATTTAATCCAAAATAATAGTCTATGCGTTGATCGCATTTCTCGTAGTTCTTAGTTTTCGTGATGTAGAAGAGTTCTCCTTTACCCCGTACTTTTGGATTTGGTAATAATTCTGGATGATTATGAATGGTTTGTTCAGCTAACGGTACGATATCGTAGAGAACTTCACATCTTCCACTAATACTATCTTCCATAGAATGGAAAGTGGCAAAAGGATTTTCATTTTCTGGTATTTGAAGACCCTTAGTTCTTTTCACGTTTTCTCCTTGAGTATCAGTTTGTAATTGGCTGACGATACTCTTGATGATGTTTATTTCCCAAACTGGTAAATTCATGCTAACGATCAATTCTCTGAAGATGTTATGTTTTTGTTTAACAATAAACGGCTCATTAGTTAATGGTAGATCTTCGTATTCTAACATCTGATCAGAGATATAAGATTCCGAACCGTCTGGTAGTTTCTTGTGTATTTTAGCATACTGAGGATTCATTAATTTTAATCTAAAGGTGTCAGTAGAAACATATTGAACCCTTAGTATCGCTTTCATTAAAATACCAACATATTGGTCATCTAAGGTTTCCAGTCCAGTTAGTGTACGACTACGTACGAGATATTGATATTCTTTTCCAACTGTCCAGCCATGGTTGTCATCGTCGGCACTACTTGCAGCAGCAATTCCAGCTGTAAGAAAGGAAAAAAGATATATCAAATATCTTAAGAATTTAATTTTTTATTACCAGTGATTCATATACACGAATCGTCCATGCAAAAAGCTTGTATAAACGACTGACTCATATAGAAATCTTATATTAACAATAAGTATAGATGGTAAGTATACATTTTATAAAATATATGTGAAATATATTCATTATGTATATTATATTATTATATTATAGCAGGTTAAATTGTATTATGTTATTATGCGAGAGTATATTATGTATAACTAAGCTCATTTACTAGTTCAACAGGCTGTAAATAAATAAATAAATTAAAAATCTACATATGAAATAAATGAGAAAATATTTATTTAAAATAATTTATATCAATGTACCTCATTGCCAGGTAAGTTGATATTTGATATTATATTTCAATTATGTTGATTATAATATAATTATAATTTAAAAAAACGATTGAATAATAGTCGCTATTATCAATACAGTTGTACGTTCTATTGTTGTAATTAAACAAAAAATTCAGTACTGATCAAGTTACGTATAAACAATGTACAAATAATTACACTTTATAAACTTATTCTTATGATTAGTCCATGAATTTGTTCCGACTTCCTTTTAAGGTATGGTACGTTAAAACGCAAGAAAAATAAATGTGGAAATCTTACCTAATAGCAGTAGAATAAAAGGAGACCTCATATTGGCAATGATTTCAGTAGATCAACCAACAGGGAATGAAACTATGACATTTAAAGACGTATTTATATTGTCTGATCATTTGCAGTTTTAACATGATCTCTGACCTCATCTCTGGCTGCTAATCATTGATTTCTTGAAATAATTCTCAACGCGTGTAAATTATATTTTTTTCTGACGCATTTAGCTATGCAATTTTGACCTTTGAAATAACTGCAACTTAAACAGCTTTAAATATATAATATACTTATTTCTAAATCGTCTGTATCTCATTTCAAGGTGACACGTTAATGACACTAATGATATTACATTAGTACATTTTATCAATGAAAAATTCTTATTCATCAGTTCGTTGATCGAAATTTTTTTAATGCATTGTCTTATCAGTGACCTCTTGTTATTTTCTTGAGAACGGTGACTCTATCTATAAATGTTGCATCTACAAATTATTTTTCATTCATTTAATGTTTAATTAATTTATTTATTTTATTCTTTTTAAGAAAGGGCTATTTAATCGAATATCTGACATATTACTAATCAATTTTCATGTAATATGGATTAATATGGCTATAATTATTTCCAATTTTCATTGTTTTTCATAGATCTCTTTATTATGTAAAATACGATATAATAAATAGAATAAAAAAATATGAAAGAATTTATTAATTAATATAACAAAGATTTTTAATTATTATAAAAATTGTATTTTTTTACAAAAGTAAGAATATCATCTTTAATTAAAAAATATCTATTTTACTCAAGATTAATACAGAAGTATAATATTTTATATTTTTTTTTTGATTATACCCATTATGATTTTTTAAAAGAAAAAAAGAACAATTGCTGTTTTCATGAAAAAATATTATAAATTTGTTCAAACGAAGAATTAAACAAAATCGATAATTTGTAAATAATTTATAAAGTTCTATACAAGGTTATATTCACATGATTGTGTAAACTGGGCGGTAGCACAGGGCTAGTGCCATCAAGGATCCTAAGATTATTATGAAAATATAATATATTATATCTTTTTTTCAAGATAATTCAACTTATTAATAATTAATGCAATAACGATAGATCATTTTATAATGTATCGGTATATTAGATTTTTATAGAAATCAACAAATGATTCCAAACTTTTATAAAGATATAAGTAAAATGTTTACTATACAAATATTTCTTTTATTTAAAAAACATTATTTTTACATAAAATTATCCTAAAAATATAATACTTTAAATTTCTTAATTTGTTAATAATAAATAATTAACTGGCACGAACGAAGACAGGATTTGTTTTGGTACAGGTAGGATTGTTGTCAAGATCCATTGATGAAATCGTTGCTTTAATTACTGTCCGTGTAACTTCCAATTCCTGTTGAAAAAAAAACAAATGATAATAATAATTAAAGTTAACGGCCTAGTCACGTTGGAATCCTAGTTTCTAATCGATCACTTAAAGTTTTAAGCAGTATGGGTACGATTAGTAATATGGATGGGTGATTCGTTCAAAAAAACAAAAGGTGTTTGTAGAAAAATGACTCGAATTCGTAAAAGAGAGAGTAAAAAATACATTCCTTCCATAATAATATTAAAAAATTGTTAACATTGCTACAAATTATGAATAAACGATTAGAAAATACTTAGGATAAGAATAATAAAAATGAAGTTAAAAACAAGAAATATAGATGAGCTTGACATTGACATTAGTCTGCACATTTTGGATTTAATTAGATATAATATTGATAATAGAGAGAGAAAGGTTATTAAAAAAGTAGCAGAACTAACTAACATAAGATTAGTTGGCATGACGCAAATAAAAACGTTTCCACTCTCATCTCATTTCTAATAACATAAAAATATTTGGCGCGTGCGCTTATCACCATAGTATATATTACCTATTTTGCAAATAGTGATATTTAAAAATCATTCTAGAGAAAAACAAATTATATGAAACTTTCTTATAATTTAATCGATTAATTTTGCAAACGTTTTATATTTAAACGGAAATACTTATCGGAGACTATCATTTTTTTCAATTTTTTATCGAATTATGTTAGTAACAGCACGATTTCTTCATGATTTACGAAACTATACGATAAAAGCTAGAAAAAAAGAAGAGAAAAAAAAATAATCACCTCTTCCGTATCAATGTCAATTTCTTGTAGAACCTCGTCAAGAGTAGATACAAACTCATTAGCATTTTCTATAGTGAATACCATAGGTGGTTTAAGTTTGAGAACATTTCTATCCGGACCATCACTGCTAACGAGAATTTTTTGTTCTTTCATCCTCGAGACAATGTGTTTAGCTTCAGCGGTAGCTGGAGTCTTCTCCCTTCTACTTCGTACCAATTCGATACCAATGAACAATCCTACACCACGAACATCACCAATTATCTTCCTACGTTTAGATAATTTTTTTAATTCTGTCATTAAGTGTTTTCCAACTATCAAAGCATTTTCTTGCAGATTGTCACGTTCGATAACTTCCATAACAGCATTAGCTATTGCACAGGATACTGGATTACCGCCGTACTGCAAAAAGAAAATAGACGAAAAGATTATTAAAAAACTGTATTTCTAATTATTTCTAATTATTATTATTTTTTCTTTATTTTAGAAATAATTACCGTATTAAAATATTCGATTCCAGTGTTCTTAAAACTAGTTGCGATTTCAAGCGTCGTGATTACTGCTGCTACAGGATGTCCATTACCCATTGGCTTTCCAACTGTTACGATATCTGGTACCACCCCATAAAGTTGAAAGGCCCACATGTGACTACCAACTCTACCAAAACCAACTTGAACCTCGTCAATGATGCATACACCACCAGCTTCTCTAACATACCTGAATACATTTATTTTTCATATTATAGATTCATTTTATTGTTAGTGACTATTAAAACTATTAATAATATTATTTTTTTATATTAATATTATTTAAATAAACATAAAAAATTAAGCATTCCGACATAACTTATCATCAATCAAATATTTTGAAAATTATAATAAAATTATTTAAAGACAAATTATTTTGAAACCATCACATAAACAAAATTATTATTTGTAAAAAAAATATACAAAAATTAATAATTATAAATGTTTAATTACCTGAATACGTTTTTAAAGTAATTTTTAGGTGGAAGGATTTGTCCACCAACGGACAATAAACTCTCTGCTATATATGTACAAACTCCTCGACCTTTGACTTTAAGATCGTCGCAAATGTGTTTTATATCTTCTGCATATTTAAGACCAAGATCTTGATTAGGATAATCATCAGCACAATATTTTCCGCGATATACGTCTGGACAAGGTGCCTAGTGAACATTATCATTATTAAGATTAAAAAATAATTGTGCCGATATTTAAGATAATAGATTGAAAATAAAAAATTGAATTTATTTTATATTATTTTATCATTTTTATATATATTATATACAATATTATATATTATATATTATATATATTAATTAATAAATAACATATATTATATATATATATATTATTATAATTGGGAAGGCAAGTGGAGTGAAGAGAGGAAAAGAAGAGTTGCGAGGTTCAGATTAGAGAATGAAATGAGGGAAGGGAAATACTGGGAGAGCAGTAGGAGCATGTGTTGGAAGGCTGCATCAGAACAATAGGTGAGGAGGACGGGAGAGGAGTGGAAGAAAAGATAAAAGAGATTTTGGACGAGAGTGGAATGGGGGAGGAGTGGATGAAGAGGATTGGAGTATAAGAGAGAGGAAGGAGGGACAAGATTGGGATTGAGGGAGGTAGAAGCGGAGGTGTGGGACGGGTTCAGGGGGAAGGGAGGAAGGGAGAAATGAGGGAGAAAGTAGTGTTAAGATAGGTTAAGGATATAATTGTAAAAGGAGTGTAACCCTTCGGGGAAGCAGTAAAATGTATCCATCTATCTATCTATCTATCTATCTATCTACCTATCTATCTATCTATTATTATAATTATTATCTATTATTATATTTATTATATTTTAATTTATTTTATATTATTATATATCATGAAATATTAGATGTGCAAATAAATTCCTAACCATAAAGCATAAAATCAATTTATGTTAAAATTAATATATAATAAGTATTGTAGAGATAAAAAAATCATACCACGTGGACCCAATCCTTTTTTCCATTTTTTATTTGATTAAATTTATATGGAGAGATATCGATCATTGACGTTAGATGACCATGATAAGCACTGTAAAGGAAAAATAATATTTTTATCATTGAATCAAATGACATTAAATAATATTTTTAATTTACTTGTTATCTAACGTACGCGTGAATTCTATTATTACGTATTATAAAATAAATTTTATTAATTTACTTTAATATTAAAATGTCTTTTTTATGTTTTAAAAGAGGAAAAAAATAAGTTTATGATAAGTGTTTAATGAAATTGTGCAATCGTTAATAATTTTATGTAGGAGTAAACTGCAGTTAATGGGTTAACGAGATAAAAAAAGAATTAAAATAAATGAACTATCGTACTGATCGAGAGTGATAATGTCCTTATTGCCAGTGTGCGCTTGTGCCAGACGAAGCGCAAGATCGTTGGCTTCGCTTCCAGAATTAACGAAGAAACATACTGATAATGGTTCCGGCATTGTTGCAGTCAATCGTCTTGCACAAACTACAATATTATCGTGTAAGAAACGATTGTTCGTTGATAATAACGCCATTTGTTCTTGACCAGCTTTTACGACATCTGGTTGACAGTGTCCAACTGTAATTGAAACCCAATTGTTATGAATATTTATTGATAAATGTAATCTTTTTCAAAATGTAAATAATAAATACATATTTATATTTGTAAATAAATTGTAGGCCGAAACGATTAACTCTAATAGTAGAATTGTTTTAAAAATTGTTATGCCAAAACATTTAAATATATTTTTCATATTAAAAATAAATTCCCAATAAGCTTAACACTGTTTTGCATGGCTGATGACCAGTAAAATTTATAACAATATACAGCAACGTATTATATTATGAGCTGAAGGAATAATTGCCTGGGATTTCCATCAATAGGGAGTTCCAAAGCCCTAAATCAATAGTTTATAAATTTATTTTTGTAATAAAAAAATCGATAATTAAATTTTTCTTCCATATCTGTAAAGCAAAATTTACAACCAAAGATAAAGTATACAATTTTATTATTTTTTTCTACTTTTAATTTCATGGAGTTAATCGATTTGGCATATATGACCAGTTTACTTATTCCACTTACCATGTGCAACATTGTTCATACAATCCAAATAACGTGTACCTTTTTCATCGAACATATACTGTCCTACACCTTTAACTATTTTTAATGGACTGGATTTGAAAAACAATTTGCATGATTGTCTGTAAAGAAATAAACAAAAAATATGATCGATATAGTTATTCACATATAAATATGATATATAATATGTATATTAGTTTGAAAATTTTCTAATTTGAATAACTTTTGATTTTAAATTATTTTTATGTTTACAAAATCATACGTCGATTTAAATTTCCAATTAATGTATTGTAATAGTCAAAAAGTTAAAACAAAAGATACAATTTTTCGTCTAATTAATTAGGATTGAATTGGTTATATAAGTGCAAGCATTGTTTATAAATAACAAAGTTGGTTTCAAAAATCAATCATCGATAAGAGTGATAATATAATCGATTAATTATATCAATATGGATTTATCAATAAGATTTAAATTCATCTTACCCAATGTGTCGTTCGCGAAGTTTAATCGTCTCAGATTTTGGCATTTGCTCAAGGGATTCAGCCATGATTAGTAGTTTATCTTATTTTCAGATACTGAAATTGCAAAAATAATTTGATAAATGATACATTTGAAAAGAAAATACGTATGGTTTTTTTTAAATATTATGTAATTTTTATTGAACGATAAGCTTATCAATATTGTCACACAGTACTCACTACCGTCATATTTTTTAACACTAGATATACCAGACCAATCATTTTGACTGGTTGGACCATTTCAATTCAAAATCTCTACTTCAAGTAAGATTTGATTTTCGAAATGTTGTTATGACTTTTGTAGGTATAAGTAGAGAAAACATTTCATGAACTTAATTTTTTTTTATATCTATTAATAACAAAAGGAATTTTTGTCGTGGACACTTATGCCAATTCCAGTCAAAATGACTGATTGGTACATGTTTTTATGAAGAAATTCTATAATAACATGAAATTGGGACAAATATAATAATGGATAGGTACTATAATGTTTTATCGATACAGAGATATGATTTCGGGACAATTATGAGACCGATGCAATACATTTAGCGATAAGCTTTGTAAGTGCACGAGGCACGGATAGTCTTGTTTCAAGTTTTGAGTTTTGAGGAAAAACTGTTTACGAAGGAAGTTTTTGTCGAAAAATTTGCAAATTGAAAAAAGACAGCATGGCTCGTTTCTCAACGTTGTTATACCAATCCAATGAATGTATACTTACCGTTTACAAGAGCAAACCAGACAAAACATAAACACATAAAAATTGATAAAACTGTTAAGAAATTACCTGAAACTGTATCGTTTTATAATAGAACTAAATTTAGCGTTGATGTCTCTAATCAAATGGCACGAAAATATACCGTAAAATCTAGTTCCAAAAGGTGGCCATTTCAAGTCTTTTTCAATATTTCTGTTTCGATTAGCAGAAAAACTTGCTTCAGAATATTAGACTTCAAGGCAAAAACCACACGAAGCTGATATACCAACTACAAATGGCACGATTCCTGTACGAAAATGGTGTCAAATGGAATATAGCAATAACAATAAAACTACAAATATTTGCAATATATGCAAAAAAAAGTGTATGCGGAAAGTGTACACACAGCAAAATCTACATATGTAGAAATTGCGACCGACAAACTGTAAATAATTAAGCGTTTTATTATTTAAAAATATCTACAAATTATTTTGACTGGTGTGGTAGAAATAGGTATACTAAAAATGGTGGTATATCTAGTGTTAAATAAAGTTATTACATAATATTAAATTATAATGTTTGTGCTATACCAATTGTTCTCTACTAATTAAACTATCATGCGATACGATAAACAACGCTGATAATTTAATAAAACTTGTAATGTTTCGTAACTATCTATAGTTTAATTAATCATTATCTTCATGAGATAAAGATACTAATTTAAAAATGATCTTTTTTTAATTACTAACAAAAGTACAATTTATTAAACTCGATTTATATAGATTTTGATAATTATTTAATAGTAATAAATATTTTTCAACTTAACAGTTCATAGATTAATAGTATATAATAATAATAATAATAGTCGTATTAGTATTTCTATAACTCTAATATTTTTTGCAATTTTTAATAAAATAATATTTTTATATGCTTAGGATCGATTAAATAATAAACCAAGAATTAGTATTATTTATCACTAAATTAAGCCAAGTCATTGAATTTTGTAAATAATCCCATGCAAAATAATTGTTTATATTTATTATATAATAAAAGGTTTATTGAAATTATCAATAAAATGATATTTGTATTTAGCATTGATTATAAAATATAATTAATCAGTTATCATTTTTATTTCATGTTAAATAATACAAAGTTATTATTCATATTCTTAAATTATTTAAGAAATTCCATGTAAAAAAACATAGTATAAATTTAATTATTAACAAATATTTATATTAATTCTTAATATTCTTTTTATATTTTCACTTATTATACTCAATATTAATAAAATAAATAGGCATCAATTATCAAATAAATCAGAAAATAATTATATTTCTTTTTTATCAGACAAAAGCAGGTCATGAAATTTTCTTTAAAAATTTCTTTGGTAAAAATGAAATAATAAAAAATTACATATATGTGTTAATAACAAAAAAGACTAATGAATAATAAAGCGAAATCAATTCAATCTTCTTTAAAGTTCAGGGTTAGCGCTTTTTTTCATTTTCAAAATGGCCGCTGATATGTCGCGGCGGGTAAATGGTGCAAAAAACAAATCGTAATAGCTAAGACATACATATAAGTAATTAAATAATATTTACGTATTATATTAATATAGTAGCATTAAAATTAAAAAGGAGGATAAGAAATAAAAAATAAAATTAAAAAAAAAGAAAAAACATAACTAAAAAAGAAACAAAAAGATTAAAAATGAAAAAATTACTAGAATCAAATGATAAATAAAATGAATCGGCGTTATATTACGAAAATACATATTATGAGTTAATATAATAAATACGCCAATAAACGAGTTTAAGAGATAATCTTGAAGAAACAATATTAATCGATTAATCGATTAATTAATACAGAAACTGTCGCGTACCTGAAATCGTGTGTCGGTAAAAGTGGGTTCCCCGGTCTTCTGAATGCAACTCTAATATAAGCTAAGTAAGTGCCACGACCTAAGTAAGTGTGACGTCTGGGTGACGTCATATATAAAGCTCGTAAGTAAGAGAAAACGAATGGTCTGATGCGCGCGCATCAGAGCTACCTCCTCCATCCACCCTTATTGATACGCTTATACCAATTTATCTCTCTCTTTTTCATTCTTTCCATCTCTATATCTCTTTTTCTATCTCTATTTTTATATATATGCATTATATATTTCTTTCTGACTCTTTTTTATCGTATCGTCCAAATAAGATGTCTTTCTTATTACTATCAACAATTGAAAATAATCTATCGAGCATTTTTGAATAATGATAAATTATTCTAATTCGTAAGATTATTATTTGCTACATATACAAATTTTTTCTTTTTCTCTGATTATCATTATCTTTATTTCTCTCTTTCTTATTCTTCTTAACTATTTTTCATACTTATCGTTCTAATAAACTCTATTTGTCTTTCCTATTCCGATAGACTACTGTCTAACATCCACTACCTACAACGCGCAACTTCTTATAATGTGCCAAAAAATATTGCAACTACTGTTTTTAAACGAAACGATTTCTCGTCCAACTCGCTATATAATAAAATGCAAGAATTTCTCGTAATTTCAAAATGAAATGTTCCCTAACTGAATACAGTATTGTTGTCTTCGTTGCTATAAAAAAAATAAAATTACTTTTTGAACCACCCAATAATTGTAAATTATATTAGAGCAAATAAAACAAAAACAAAAAACATGTTCGTACAACACGATTTCTTGTAATACAAATTCATAAATCACGTAACATATACTATTAGTCTTGTCATATGAAAGTCTATTGTACTGTTATTGTTATGTCGACAATTAGTAACAAGCTATCGCCTTTATTACGAGAAATAAATTTTTTCTAAGATTAGTACACACAACTTTATATATTACTTATCAAATACAAATTACATATATACATAATCTGAATATATTTCTTCTTTTCTATTAAAAAATTATGAAAATATTTTTATTTATTTGATGCTCTAATTTCCAATATTCAGCTAACTGTAAGATGTAAAAGACAAAGATATTATTGTATGAACGATGTGCACTTATAATTAAATTTGACACAATTAAAAAAGTTATTGGTATGAGTGATATTTCCTAGATCATTTGTTAAAGATCTTCGATTATATATGTTCGATTGATATCATAATAATAGTGTATTGACCGATGTATCGATGAAATAAATATATATATCGTATATATATCTATACGATCGATATATCCATACGATCTATACGATATATGTATATCTATATATATATATATCTATATATATATGATATATATATATGATATGATATATATACATGATATATATATATAAAGTAGATATTACTATGCTATAATTTAAACAAACATTATGTTAAAGATAACCAACTGATCATATTAATCTGATTTATTCGGACTTTTAATTCATTNTTATTCGGACTTTTAATTCATTTTCGATACATATATATATATATATATATATATATATATATATATATATGATATAAAAAAATGATAATGAATGTTTGTATAAATATGTTATCTAATAAGTAGATATTACTATGCTATAATTTAAACAAACATTATGTTAAAGATAACCAACTGATCATATTAATCTGATTTATTCGGACTTTTAATTCATTTTCGATACATATTAATTTGTTCGACAAACTTTCTTTTCCATTGTTCCTTACAAGTAAAAATCCATTAACGTGATATGTGGTAATCTTGGAGAAGCCAAAAAATTAGTTCTTATCTCAACTTATTCATCGTTGGGGGTTATTTAATGGTTATTTAATTATTAATATTATTTATAATTATTCAATATGTAGCGCATAATGTACTGGACAACTATTTAATTAGATACATAAATATTAATTGGATAATAATAGATTTTTTATTAATGTAATTAGTACTAATTATAATTCTGGCTGCATTTTATTTCATAGAAAATTTAAAAATGATTGAGCGATTAATTTGTCTGGTAAAAAGTAAAATCCAAAGACGTCATCGTTGCATATTCAAATAGATATCGGCGATGAATTTTTGCTGTGTCGATGAAACACCTGCCCGTTATCGTTTTGCATTTTTATTATAATTAAAAAAAAAAGAAAAAACACATTTAAGAATCCATGGTTATATAACATATTTTTCTTATATTTACTAATAGAATATAGAAGTAAAATTTTACGAGAGAGTAAAAACTGGGACACCCTATATTTCCAATAAATTTAGAAAGTATTATAATTCATAAAAGAATTTAATTTACAAAGTTATTATTTTTGTGTGTGTGTATTATTTTTATTTATTTTATTCAAACAATTTTTATTAAAACAGACATTAAAATATATTTGTTAATATATACTATACACACATATTCTAAAAAAACAGAAAAAAGAATATAAAAAAAAAATAGGACGTTTATAAATGATATTACTTTCGTTATCTAATTCGAACGTCATTTCGTGTCCTTGCTGATGCTAATAGAATCTTAAGTGCATAACTGCGCGCTCGCACGAGTCATACAAATAGTAAGCTCTGTCTCGTGAAAAATATACGTATAGAACTTATTGTTAGAGTTTTAAGATAGGATATAGAAAGACCGTGCTGTTTGGTAATATTCCACTCTCAACAACAAAATACACATGCATTGAAATAATGAAAGTGGGAGAAGGTGAAGTAAAGCTCAAATTTTCAATCATTTCTATTTCCCGTTAATTTTCTTGTTTATCTTATAACGTGCTTGCAAATACACGCGTTATTTCATATTAGATTCACTCTGAAATATTTAAACTATTTAAAAAAAAAAAATATTTAGAATAATTATGAAAAGTATTAACATAAATATTAAATAAAAATAACATTTTATAAAATTAAAATATATATTTTTGAATGATTTAATATTTGTTATAAATATTAGTTAAATATATTGGTTAAATTTGAAAAATATGAAAAAGTTATTTATACTCGATATGAAAATTTTTAAAAATATATTTTAAGGTATATATCAATAAAATATAAAAATATATTTACAGTAATATATAAACAAATTTTCTTAACAGATTTTATCTTTTTATAGATAATTACGAACGAATAAGCGAATAATATTTTTCAGTAAACTTAATAAATAACCTTTCAACTCTCTTATTTGTTATTATTTTTATAAAATTAACAATTCACATTTTTTGTTAATGAAATTATTATTGCAATAAAATGAAGTAAACTATTGGTATATTTGTATAAACGTGCGTGCTGATAGAAACAACACGTGGACGATAGCAGTACGCACGTGATAATTGTTATCGTATCATTGCTTAGAATGATATTCAACCGTA